GCGGCAAACCTTTGATGATTCTCCACACACTCATCGCATCCCTCTCGCTGCTGCTCTTGCTTGCTCTCCTCTTGGCATTTTCCGATAGTGTGACAACCATCTAGCTGCAACCCCCTCAAGAAGCAACCCCTCGCCGCTGCGACGAGCGTCGTGGAAAATGTTTTATGGTCCCGTCCCCGCCCCGCACTCCCTCCCTGCTTGATGGCTCTCTCTCTATCTGCTCGAGTGCCGCTTCTTCCACGTACTTAATACTTTTTGACTTTTTGGGGGAAAGCATTTCCCGGGGCGAGCGTGTGAGTGTGCGAGAGCGAGTGAGTGTGCCAGTGCCAGAATGTGAATGCTCCTAAGCGGTTTTCCCAGCTGCCGCCGTTCCTGCTTCTGTCTCTGCCTCAGCTCCTGCGGCTGCCTGCTGCTTTTTCCGACATTGCTGTTCGCCTGTTACATAATTCGCGTAATTTATTCAATTTTGAGAATTAATTTTTTATTCATTTCGCGGTCTCTTTCTGGGTCGCTCTTCTGAATGCATTTTCCCCAATGTTTCGGATTTCTTGAAGCACTTTATACAATAATGAATATTAAACTTGGAAAATATTGAGTTTTTAAATGGAAACAAAACATAGGAACGTGAAAGGCTTTCTTTTGTTATCTGATCGCGGCTAATTGTTCTATTTAAATTCAATTAGGCCTAAATTATAATACTAACCAAAAAAATTGTGACTAATAATATCTTAAAACAAGAAAGAAAGCTAACTTTGGCCAGCCAGAGTTTGTATACCCTTGCAGGTAACAATTAAAATATATCATAACTAAGCCAAAAATTCATTAATTTCGATTCGGAAAGCAGTATTGTGTTAGTTTTTATAAGCCTAAAAAAATTGCATACCAAATTTAAAATTTTAAGAAATCAAAATTTTTGGCCATTTTTGCTAATTTTAATGATGTAACCCCTTATAAAATTTTGCAAAAATGGCCAAAAAATCGATTTCTTCCGGACATGTCTTGAACGATTCGCATGTTAATGCTGATCAAGAATATATATGGTTTATGGGGTCGGAAATGATTCCTTGACTTAGAAAAATATTATTTTGTATTATAAAATCTGATTTTTTATATTAAAACACTTCTTGATTTTTTTTAAATTAAAAATATCATAACTCGGCCAAAAGAGTATTAATTTTAAATCGGAAAACTGTTCTGTGCTAGATTTTCTACAGTTAATAAATCTGCATACTTCATTTAAAACTTTCGAAAATTCAATTTTTTATCAAAATCAAACATTTTAATGATGTAACTCCAAATGAAATTTTGCAAAAATGGCCAAAAAATCGATTTCTTCCGGACATATCTAGAAAGATTCCCCTGTTGATGCTGATCAAGAATATATATACTTCATAGGGTCGGAAACGTCTCCTTCACTGCGTTGCAAACTTCTGACTAAAATTATAATACCCTGCAAGGGTATAACAAGAAAGGAAGCTAACCCTTGCAGATTGGATCACTAAGAATCGAGCCATTCTAGTTAAATAATTTAAAAAAAAATTAAAGAAAATATTTAAAAGTTTTTATGTTTACAGTTTCACATTCGCAGCTTTACATTTTCTCTACATTTACCGATCGTTTCTATGGCAGCTATATGATATAGTCGTCCGATCCGGCCCGTTCCGACATATATAGCAGTGAGAGTATATAGAAGACTATATTCAAAGTTTCATTCAAATAGCTTTAAAACTGAGGGACTAGTTTGCGTAGAAACAGACAGACGGACAGACGGACAGACGGACAGACGGACATGGCTAGATCGACTCGGCTGTTGATGGTGATCAAGGGAAGAGCGAAGAAGAGAAGAAGAAAACTTCCCGCCCTGCAGCCCCATCTGGTTCTGGGAATGTGGTACTACCACGCGCAACTGCAGCACCAGAGGTCGCTGCTGTGTGCGTTATTTACAGGGGCGCAACTGTGGACCAGTGTTGCCAGACTTTTCGGTCCCAGCGACCAGTGTTGCCAGACTTTTCGGTCCCAGCGACCAGTGTTACCAGACTTTTCGGTCCCAGCGAAATGCGCCATCTATCTCTGAATGCAAATACCTGAATTACACCATCTATGGGTAATTGCAAAGGGAGGAAATGGGCAGCACTGGCTATAGTTTCATCGTAATCTGAGATAGATGGAGCCTTATATGATTTCTTAAATAAAATTTAATTTAAAAATATAAATTTAAATTCAAAATTTTTTTAATAAAAAAAAAAAAAATGAATTAAAATTTTTTTTAATTAAAAAAAAATTAATTAATTAAAAATTTTTTTTATTAATTATTATTATTTTTTTATTAAAAAAAATTTTAATTATTTTTTTCATAAAATAATAATAAAAATAATTAATTTTAATTGAAATATTAATAAAAAATAACTAAAAAAAAATATCTAAATTAAAAAGAATGTTTATGAAATATAATTATTATATATAATCATGAATAATAAAATGTTTAAAATACAAACTTCTCAATCAAAGAATATTAGTTATATAGAATTTTAATATGTAAATATATTAAATTGTGCAAATTTATTTATTTGTGTTTTGTTAGTGAAATATGTTAACTTTTTAGGAGTTTTCGTATTTCTAGATATAGCCTGAAAACCCTGTAAAAAATCAACTTGTACTAAAAATATTTAATTCCGACTCAATAAAAAAAAAGTCAGAGCTCCTATAATTTGTAATTTAAGAAATCTAATATTTACCTACTGATTGCAGAGCGGTGAACCTTGCCACTTTCAGCATATTATTTATGGCATTTACCAGGCGAATCTTCCTGTGAACCTTGCCGCCGCCTACCACAGAGTTCCGTTCCCTTCCCTCGTCATTCCTTACACCTCCTGGTCGAGGCAATTGGTTGCAGTCGTAGTCGGCATCGGACTGATAAATGCCCAATGAGAAGAAACCTTAACCCATTTCAGAAAAAGGCTTCAAGACTTAAGCCAATATAATTTTGAATTTAAGTACTATAAATTGTATTTCTTTAATTAAGAACATTAAAAGAATAATATTATTAATAATAAAAAAGATTTGTTGTATATGTTATTTATTTATTTATATATTTGATTTAAGTTCTGCATGTACACTTTTTATTTCAATGTATACTTTTATTTAGAAATTATATTTTCTACTCATAGATTCCTAACACTATCCTGAGGCCCTGTTCTCACCCAGTCAAGCAAGTCATGTGGGCTGCACACACCTGGCAATGTGCCAGCTATACTCACTTGGGGTGCCAAAAACGGAATATAAGCACACATTGGAAATTCCCACACTCGCTGGCATTGGGTGGAAATGGGTTAATGCTGCACATATCGCCCTCGGGGCAAAGGCAAGGGCGGTCCACATAATGGCTCTTAGATTGTTGTTTTCATTAAAAATCAACGGCTGCAAGCCAAACAGCAGAGAGCGTCGCGACTCCTTGTGGCTGTGGCTGCTCCGACTCCGGCTCCTGCTCCTGCGACGGCTCCTGCTCCTGTTACTGTTAGGCAACGCCCAACGTTGCGCTGGGAGCAACAACAAAGGAAACGCCGCCTGCATCCAGGAGGGGATCGGTTCGGAATAGGGATCGGGACAAGGGCCAAGGGACAAGGGGACTGGGCACTAAGGAGGAGGTCTATAATCTCGTTCGCTTAAGCGTCACGCATGCCACTCCCCTAAATTGATATGCCCGCCATGGCCAAACACCGGCAAACATCATCATCAGAGCGGAGGAAGTGGATGTGGCAGTGGCAGCGGCTGCGGCGGCACAATGCGGAAAATCATCAAAGGCGGCATTTCAAAGAAATGTTCCGACATTTCTACCAGGCGAACAGAAACGTCCACCAGCGGCGATGATGTGTTGTGCCAAAAACTGAAAAAAAGTGAATGAAATCGAAAACTCGAACAACACACACCGGCACACCACCGAAGCACACCACTGAGCACACGCACCACCAAACCATAGAGCCACCTTTGCTTTTGGCGGCGTCGCGTCGCTGCTGCTGTTGCTGCTGCCGCCGGCGTATAAAATTGGCTGTGACCCGATTTTATTCTATTTTACTCGCTCTGGCCATTGTTCTGGGTGGGATTCAGTCTGGGATTTGGGATGCGGTTCAGTTCGTCTTGGAGCGGCGCGCTGGCTGGGTGGCTGGATGGCTGCTAGGAAACAAATCGCTGAAGGGATGGAGTTCAAGGCAAAACAGGATAGAATCGTGCGTCTAATGTTGGTCTACTTTCGGGGCAGTGTTGGTCTACACAGAAAGAAATACTGCGTTCTTTAATAAAAATCTATCAAAGATATTTTCATAAAAAAAAAATTTTGATATTAAGAAAAGGATTTAAAATCTATAAAAATGAAATGAGCATTTTACATATTAAATGCAAGGATAAACAAATCTTTTTTTTGCAAGTTGAATCTTAAAGTGAAAACTAGCTGAGCTGTTTTTTACAAAACTAGTTTAAATACAAATTAAATTATTAAATTATTCAGCAACTAAGATTAAGATATTGGTGTTTGCTAAAGAGTTGCATTTTAAATAATCATAATGAATTAATTATTAATTAGTAATCATTAAAAATTGGTCAAAATATCTACAATTTTACTCTCGTAAAGAAGTTGCATTAAAAGTAATCATTATAAATATTTTTATATTATTTTAAATATTAATTCAAATAATTAAAAATTTAATCCTAGATGGCAAAATCTAAATATATGGTATATGTGATTCTTAAAGATCAGCAAGTAAACTTGAAAAAATAAAGATAATTGTTCAAAAAATATATTATTCTATTGGAATTCTAAGTCTTGAATGGTCTTCATTTGCCTGGAAGGGCTGGCAGCTAACTGTGCCCCATTAATTTGTTTTTAGTTCAGTTTTTTCGGCACCACACCTCGTAATTACAAATAAAACTATCGTGAATTGAGTTTAATCACTCTATTTTTTCGATTTTTTTAATGCTTGCTTTTCACACATAGAGTAAACATTTGAGTAAGTATGTATATTGAACATTTTAACTGTATTTGAAATGTGTTTAATTGGTTAAATGTTAAACTGTGATTAACTTGTGGTTATATTTTATTGAATATTTAAGATGGCTTAAGTGCCAAGCCTGCTTGAAGAGGCGAAACAAAGTGTACGAGTGCGTGTTCTCTCGATAGTGAGTCCAAAGGGTCTTCAAATTGTTTTTAATGTTGTTACTTAAATGTTTTTTCTTACACAACCGCTTGTGTGACATTTTATGTGTTAATGTAAGTTCTGATCGTTTCGTTTAGTGTTGTTGTAGAGCCCAAGGCGGAACGCTAAGTGTTTCTTACAGTGCATATGGCTGAAAAAACCGCATGCACTTTGTTGCTATTAATTGTTAATTAGCTGATTATGTATATATTTTTGCCCCTGGGGAGGGGTTTTAAACATTTTATGTGTGTAAAATAGAATATTGGTTGTGTAATTAATTTTATGGACACTGAAGCGCAATGCTGCAAACTCCCTTTGCAGTGACGAAATATGTTTCTCCCAGTGCATATCCGCTGTGCACCTGCATTTATTAATTGTTATTTAGTTACTTTAAATACCTTTGTCCTAGATAAGACCGAAAAACTTCAATTCATTCAATCAAGTGTAAGTTGGCTATTTGTGGTTATGTTGTGTTTAATTACCTAAGACATGAACTAACCTTTTTCCCAGTGTAAAATCTGCCTGGCTCTTACTTGATGTGTGTATATTCTAATGTATTTGTGTATCTCTATCTGCTTTTTCATGTTATTAAACAGTTCTTGATTATGATTATTTAGCAGCAATGTTTCATTAGTCAGAATGAACCATTGTGGCTAAATTGGAATTCACATTACATTACTGCGTACCCATAATTCTGACCCTTTCCTATATCGACAAGTGTAGCTTTTAATCTTTTTATTATAGGGATTTATTAGCCAAAAAATATAAATAAAATGCAAGCAGAACTCCAACTTTTTGAATAACCATAATCAAGTGGGAGATAACTAGGAACCTCATTTAATTTAAGGTGTTGCACTGTATCTTCAAGATCTCAGTTACCTTTAAATGAGCAGATAAAGCGTGTCTTTGGAGGGTCCATGCAGCTATTTTAAGAGTCTTGGATTAAATAAGTAAGTTAGTAAGAAGGATAAGTGTGTTCAAGTCGAAATCATGCGTGTTCAACGGGGGGCCAACCGAGTGGGAAGCGTGCCAGTGTGCAAATAAGTAAGCTAGCTATGGTTAGATTACATTCTAAGTAGTAGCAGTTCATGTATAAGCAACTCTACAGGCTATTTTATAGTACAGTACCTGTTCGGATTGTTAGGTTTTGCTTGGTGTTTGTTTTCTCAGTGAGTCTCAGAGGCGACACCGCGTGCCGCCCCCTGCAGAGACGGATAATCTATGAACTGGACGCCGAAGCTTTTCGGTAACTCTTATTTTAGACAAAGACAGTAGACACTGGGCAAAGGGGGAACCAAGGATCTGCGTGCCTTAGGGGGTTGTGTATTGGTGTGGCTTCAGTTTCAGTTTCTTTAAGGGTCTCTTTATTATTTTTTTGGCTTGTATTATAATAGTAATCGTAATTATTACCGGATCAACAACGACATGTCCTTGTTCGACTTTTCTGCTTGCTGTTTATCATCGAAAATTGTTCGCATTTTGTTCTGTTTCTTTTCGTCTCTTTTTCGGTTTTGTTTAATTTACATTTATATAATTTACACATGCAGCAGTATAATATATGTTTATGTGGTTTTAACTTGTGTTTTGTAGCGCATATTACACAATGGCGCGATACATTCAGATATTGGTATGCATATCCAGCTCTTCGGTCTGCGACTCTGATAAATTCAAAGTGGTTAATAACATTTATATATATATATGTATATATTTTGTATGTAGGTATACATGTTGCTATATAATTCTCATAAATAATTGTAGCACGTTAATGTAATATGTATGTTTAAAACACTTAAATTGCGTAGGTTAATTAGATTTGCACAAAAAACCTTTAATAGGTATGCTCCATGTTCTCATCGTCCTGTGTCGGTGTGTTCGGTGTATTTTGTTTTGTATTCGCTTGATTCGCTTGATTGATTCATACATAACATATATGTACGTTTAATAATCATTTAACGCTTTCACTTTTTAATACATTTAGATATTAGTGGCCTCAGCCAGCATAATTTTTTGCTGGATTTTACCTTTTTTTTGTTTGCTTTTCTCAATGTATTTTTCGTATCTTGTTTGCTTAATAACACAAATCCTTGCCAAGTGGCTAAATAGATATATATTTCTGCGCGTGGCATATATTCTGTATACACATCGATATTGTTAAATGTTTCTCTTATCCGCTAAATGCCTCACTTAGTCAGATAATTATTACTCTTGGGTTTCCATTTCCCAAAAATGTATGAAAGCCTGCTCATGTTTTATTTGATTTGCTTACTCGATAGTTAATTGATTCTGACGGCAATCCGTATGTGGCTGCCGACCTCAACATGTATTTGATTCTGTATTTATTTGTATTTGTATGTTATCATCCGCGGACACCAAACTCAATATCTCTCGAACCGAAAAACCAAAAACACAGAGCTTTTAAGTTTGGTTGCCTGATTGATAAGTTCGTTCGCGTATCTCGTTCTGTAAGGGTCGTCGTCGTCGTTGCTCCTGGCTCTGTCCCTTGGCCCGGCGAGAGGTCAGTGTGTGGCCGCACTCCGATTTTATTTTAGAATCTCATTACGTAGGCCTATGACTAAGTTCCGTCCGATCGGTCAGTTGCAGTTGCTGGGTGGAGTCTGTGGTCAGGTTCAGCTGCTCGTCCGGATAGAGATGTGCGTATATACAGCCGTTTGTGGGGTGGTCTGGTCGGGTTGCGTGTGTTTAGGAACTCAAACCATTTTGTATGCGGTCCTTCTGGGTTCATGGCGTCCGTCGGTCGGGTCGGTCTATGGTAGGTGACGTCTCCTCATCCTCGTCTCTTCTGACCCCGGAGCTTGTTGGCCAGCAAACCGATCTGCCGCCGCCGCCCTTGAGGGAGTCCAGCCAAGTGACGGCCAGGGATTAGTTTAAGTCCGTCCCAACAGTCGGTCTTTATATCCTTGCTGTGATCTCAGCATGACAGCAAATAATTGTATTTACCTCGGTGCGGTTTTCATCGTCACATCTCACTTTCCTTAATTTTAAAATAATCAATTATAGTTGCCTTTGTTGCTTTTATATTTGTATATCTATGTTACACCATCAAAGAAATAGTTTGGGGAAATGATGAAATGCTTGGCTTGTGTGTACTCGCCCCGTACTTGGGGGGCTTTACACTCAATTAGATGCGACATTATCCAGTAGTGTAATAATGGAGAAGTCCGTTAGACAATTATGCATTAATATTATAATATTATATTAGTATTTAGTTGTTATGTGTAAGTTCCGTTCAATAATCTACGCATGGTTGTTGTTTTCTTCATCGATAATCGTTATACATTAATATGTAATGGTTATGGTTATGGTTATGTTATGTCGAAATATACATCAATAATTGCCTTTATATAATACGATATACATTACGTTTTAGTACACTTATTTAATTTGCTTCGTCGAACATTTGAATTGAAATTGTTGTAGCTTGTTACTTGTATTTAATTAACTTTGAAAAAACGTTGCGTCAAGTACTCGTAAATGAATCGAAAAACTCACTACTAAATATTTTGCTCTAAAAACAGTAATCGTTAATTATGCTCATATACTTGTATTCTTATTTAGTTTTGTTTCTTTCTACCACGTTAATAATTTTGCTTAGGTTTTCGCAAGCCCCAGTTGTTGTTCGGACTCGCCACAGTTATTGTAATATTGTTTCTCAGTTGCTTTTATTTGTTGTGTAGTGTGAGAGTAGTGTTTGTTACGTTCAAACAAAGAATATGTTAACAAAGAAGTCGTTTGCGTCGAGATAATAATTATTCGTTTCGTTTTCGTATTTGTTTGGTTTTGTTTTCTTGCTTAAGTTTAGCTGAAATGTATCTTATCTTTGTCGTCTTGGAATATTCGAACTACGATAACTCATTTTCATTACGGTTAAGTTCAACTGCTACGTAAAACTGTTAAGTATGGTATCTTTAATTAATTAATAATTTTCTTCATTTTTTTTTTTTAATATTTTCTCTGCTATTAGCAGCACTTGCACATCGTCCTCCTCAATCGAGTTGAGCTTATTTGCTTTGTATTTTTGAAGTTTTTCATGGTTTTGGTTCATCGTTTGGCCTAATCGAAGGTTGACTCTGCTTCTGCAGGTGTCGGATCACATCGCTGGTCACTTGTATCTTTGTGGCTATCCCCTGGGGTGTCTCGTGTAGCGTGTCATGCAGCCGAGGGACTAGCCTCCCGACCGCATAGTACCGTGTGATTCTCTGGATATATTTCGCTTTGTTCGTTTCCTGTTTGTCCGTTTGATTCGTTCGAGGGTCGTGCCTGAGTGGGATGTGTTTCTTGTGGTGATTAGTGTGTGTTTGTGTTGTGTTTAGTTTCCATTTCTGGCGATTCTAAACGGTTTCTCTTTTTTTTTTTTTTTTTTGGATTTTTTAATTTTTTGTTCTCTCGGTAAGTTCAGTAGCTTGTTTGTGGCACATACTCCTAACCGCACACGCAGCCCCGACCTCCACCCGGTGGCCCAGTCCGCGGCCCGACCCTTAGCTGCCTTTTTGTTGGTCAGAGTGGATCGAAAATTTAGGGCCGGACGCCGATTGGCGGGAGGAGGAGGGAGCTGCGGTGCCATTTCTGACATTTTCATACTAATAAGTAGTGGGTAGATACTATAATATATATAACTTGCGGTGTATTCATCAACTGCGAAGGGCAAAAGTGTGGCCTAAGCTTAGGAGCGATTGATAATAACTGAGGAAATCCTGCTCTCTGGTTTCTTGACTTAGCACACGTACATATGGTCTGGTAAAACGATACTTGATTCAATAGCACACTCATGGTTAGCTAGATATACCATAGATAATGACATTCGCCGTAGCATGTATATGAATAATATAATTGTATACAAATATATTTGAAGAGTGCGGTTATAACCTTGTATAATTAATTGTCATACACATCAATAGGTTGCTCCTCACCAAACTCGTCCTTCCATGTCTTGTAAATATAGAGCTTTGTTAGGTACAAATTTTGCATTTCTCAGTGTTTCTCTGTAATATGTAATATGTATGTCTGTCTCCTGTATAGGCATATGTTCTGGTTTCAGTGTGGATTGGGTAGTGATGTCTGACCATGTCCAGTGTGGTGATTTGATTCTGTTCTGTTCGGTTCGGTTCGGTTAAGTCTGGCTTGGCATATGTATACCTTGTAGCTCGATTGTTGTCATTCGTCCGCTTTCCAAGCACATCGATAGAGTTTAACGTTGAATATGCCAATATCGGATATCGATTAGTGTACGCGTAAGTAAAATGCTCCATAATTGAATCAATGCTTAACACCTAGACATGTATATAAGTATAAGTATGTATTGTATGTAAATATTTCTTGTATATCCTTTAACACTCAAATATTCTATATGTATATATCGTGCGTTCTATAGTAGCTTGCACCACACATCGCCGCCGAGGCGCAGGGGTCCCGCCGCACGGACGCACTCCGGATCAGACGGGCTGGTGCATGCCCGGGGCAGCGTATCGCACCGGAGGACCCCCAACCCGGGGACCATGTGCTTCTCGGCGCTGGTGTACATAAACTGAGGAATAACGTTGCTCGTCAAAGCAACTACGATAACGGCCTACTACTGACAACCTTGTGAAGCCTTTTTCGAACCTTCCAAGTGCTCACTCCAACTCAAAGTCGAACTAAATTCGCTAACTAGAAACAACGAAAAGACCCCCGAAACGCTGCAACAATCATCTTTAACCTGAGGCTTAACCTTCAACCCGATCCTGGATCGGGCTGGATTACTTCGTCTTCGTCTGCTTCGCTGGTTTGGCCGGCGTCTTTTGCTCCGCGCCCTTCGACTCCTTCCGCTGAGCCTGATCCTTCGGCTGCTCCTTCTCCTTCTCCTTCTCCTTTTCCTTCTCCTTGGCCGCGGCTGCGGCTGCCTTGGAACTGCTTGTGGGCGCCTCCTCCTCGGCGGCCTCCTGCGCCTTATCCTCCTTGAGCGGTTCCTTGGTGGCGCTGCTGCTGGAATTGCTGGTGCCACCGCCCACAACGGGATCCTTGTCCAGTTCCCGCTTCTCGCCGGACGTATTCGCCGGCAGGGCCTTCAGGATGGCGTGCACCTCCTCGGCAACAGCCATCAGCACGAACTCAAACTGCTGGCGAGTGGCCACCACGCCCGCTCGCTGGTCGCGCAGATGCTCCAGGGTGGCGGCAATGTCTATCTCACGCGCACCCTTGTTCATCCGCTCCAGGACCAGGTCCAACAGGATGTAGGCACCAGTTCGGCCGCCTCCGGCGCTTCCGTGCACCACAATGGGGCAGGAGCGACGTCCTCGGTAGGATTTGTTCACCTTCCTGAGAAGTTAAATTAATTAAATTAAAAATAATTATGATATGATATATAATTGGTAAGAAATTTACAAAATTTATAAAATTAAAGAGTAAGAAATGTACAAGTTTGGGAACAACTTCCTTCTTGCTATTAAGAATTTTAATTTTTTGTGTCAAAGATCTTACCGCCTAAAGTCGAGCAGTGCCTTGGCCTGGACAGGCACTCCCATGTGCGGCCAGGACAGGAAGTGGAACTGGGTGACTGTTCGGGTTTCGCTGGTGCGCAGATTCTTCAGGTAGAAAGAACGTACGAGGTAATCATCGCACCAAATGTGTTCACTAACTAGGTGAACCTGTAATTCAAACAAATCAACCATTAATTAGATTTGTATATCTGTATAGCTATATATATTCTATATTTACCTCATAGATGTGATAGACCTCGGCACCTTCTTCCGGCCAGTAGCGCGCACAGGCCACCTCTCCGTTCTCCTGCAGTCGGCAGAGGGCCACGATGACAACGGCTCCCTGCTCCCAGATCATCTGCCAGAAGTGAGCCAGGGTCGACGGCAGTGGACCCTGGGCGGCCACATAGGCGGGGGCTCGTGGATCGTGATCGGTCTGTAAAAGTAGGTAAATTTTAGATAGAGGATATAGCTTTCTTAGAAGAGCTAGGATAAACTTACAATCGTTGAGGCATTTACATAGTCCAGTCCTTCCGCGTTGGCCAGATGATTAAGGACAACGCGAGAGTGATCGTACGGCAAAGGAGCTCCGGGTCTGTTCAGTCCCGCACACTGAGGCTGGGAGGCGGCCTCTCGAGCACTGGGCTCGGCTTCATAACGGCACAAGGCCTCCCATTCCCGCTGCAAGCGTCCCTTGTTCCGCAAGTGATCCTCCATGTAAGACTGTTGAGAGATTTCTTGTTATTAAGTCCGTTTTATAATACTTAAATTAATAAACTTACCAGCACCATGTGTCCTGTTGAAATGTCCATGTTCGTCAGGGCGGGCTCCTCGCTCCAGGACGAGGTGCTTGATCGCGAAGATGGTGGTCGGCCTTCGTTCTCCTTGCTCAACGAGGTAATCCTTCCACTGTGCGCTGGCTCGTTGGAGCCACCGGTTGCACCACCGCCCGAGTTGCCGCCGCTGCCGTTGCCCGACTTACCGGCCATCCGGGCACGGCAGAGTTCCTGGTAATCCTTGCTGCAGGTCTCCGCTCCCGCAATGCCCGACTGCAGACCGCCCAGCTTATCCCGCTTGCGGTCGTGCCGCTTGATCAGGATCAAGGTGACGAAGATCACGATCACAGCGGCGGCACCAGCGCCGGCGAACATGTAGGCCATGATGTGGGTCACATCCGGTCCTTGCTCGGCCAGCTCAATGCGGGATGACGAGACACTCGGGTCCTGCAGGTCCTTGATCACGTCACCAACGCCGGCATGCAGCACATAGAACCCGACGCGTCGCTGAATGTTGTTCTTGACGCCGCGGTTCTCGTTGATGGTCCTTGCCACATCGCCGGCGGTCTTGCGCTCGGGGTTGTTTGAGTTCACCCGGAAGCTGACTTCGTGTTGTTGAACGCTGGAGGATTGAGAGGAGAGCTTGGTTAATGCTGAACTGACAAGATGTAGAGGTAGCTTAAGAGGGACTCACGTTAAATAAGAAAAGTATCCCTGCATGTGTAGTATTTGCTCCAGCTCCTTCATGATGCGCTGCCCATCGTTCCAACTGTCAATTCTGCAGGCACAAAAAATATAATTAATTCTGAAATAATTGGAGGGAAGACCCCCAGGTGGACTTACGGGTTCTTAACGAACACATGCACATATTCAGTGTCAACGGTGTGCGGCGCATGATCCTCGGCCGAGTGCTGCTGCTTCATGACCTTCTTCTTCTTGTGAGCCTCGTCGTCCTCGGCACTGCCCTTGATGTGTGCGGGCAGCACCTCCTTGTTGCCATTGCCGTCCGGCTTGCGTGTTCCCGCCTTGTCCGTTTCCAGCTGGTTGCTCAGTTCGGAGGAGCCAGGGGATGGTGGTCCCAGCAGTGGGCCAGGCTTCTTCACATCGAGTCGCTCGTGGCGGGCAAAGCCCAGCATGTTGGCGAGGAGCGATTGCTTTACATTCTCCGGCTCATCAGCCTGCATGCCATCCGCGTCTGGTCCGTACTGGGGTGGCATCACGAGCAGTCCCCCCTCGGTATAGACCCGTTGGCTGTTCGCCTGCCGGGGGAAACTGTTGGAGGCCAGCATCGCCTCCTCCTCGAGGGGAGTCAGCGAATTGCGTAACAAGCCCGACTCGAACGCCAGTTCCTGTTGCTGGGCATCCACCTCGTTCGGATCCAGCTGGCTAAATGCCGGAGGACGTCGCTTGGCCAGCTCGGGAGTGGAATCTACTTCGGGTTCAGCATGTCGGAAGCTTAATAGCGGTTCCTGCTCCAATCCCTGTTCGCCGGCCAATTCGCGGAAGAAGGAACGCTTCGGTTGCTCGTTCTCCACCTCGCCCAGACCCAGTCCGCCCCTCGAGCCACCCCTGGCCCGTTTGTACGGGGCGAAGTTGTCCGGAAAGTAGAGCTCACTGGACTCGTTCACCTCCTCTGGCGGCACATAGACTGGGGCCTTGGCCTGCTCCTGCTCCTGCTGTTCCTGCTGCTGCTTCAGCTCCTTCAGCTCGCGCTGCTGCTGCTGCTCCACGATGGCCTCCAGCTGGTCCATGGCATTCGCCGGCGCCGGCGTCTTCCGCTGGTAGGGCTGAGGATCGGGCTCGGAGGCGGCCAGAATCTGATACAATTCCAGCCGATTCTGCTGCTCTGCTCGGCGGTCAGCATCCTGCTCCGCCTGTCGCAGCTCCTGCTCGCGCTCGATCCTCTGACGCTCAGTCTCCAGGAAGGTGTCCATAATGCTCGGCACGTCCACCTGAGCACCCTGTCCGTGTCCATGTCCGTTCCCCTTGCCAAAGTGCTCCAGCTCCCCGGGATCGTGGCGCAAAGGCCGGCGATCCTGCAGCATCCGATTGAGGTATATGTCGTTGGCATCGTTTTCCCGCACCTGCTTCTTCCTTAGCGAAGGATAGAACTGCGCCTGACTGGGCTGCTCGTAGTAATCGAGTTCGGTTTCCGGTTCCGGCGGCGTGAAGCGCACATAGGCCATGGCACTGGCCGGATCCCCGAACTCCGGCGGAGCTGGCGCCAGGTTGGCGCACAGGTTCGGTGGAAGCTGCTGCTGGCGCTGGAGCGAGAAGAGGGATCCCTGGATGCGGCACTGGACGTACGGATGGTCCCAGCCTAGGCCGGCGCCCTGAAGCTCCTCCAGCATGGTGGCCAGCACACGAGACTGTTCCTCGGTGAGAGGTGTCCTGCGAAAAAAAAGAACCACAGTTAATAAGGACTAACAATTTGTATTGGAATTAAAAGCGATAATTACTTCTCAATGTCCTCAACGTCGACACCGGTTGTTGGAATGCACTTTCCGAAGATGTTGTCTGGCAATTAAAAAAGAAATCAATAAGATTTTTAGATTATACAAATATTTCATCCCCCTCAAGCGAAACTTAAGGCATTTGCAGCTGTTTGGGAACAGCTTTTCATTGTATTTGAGTTTCTCAACCGAAAAACTTTTGTTTGCTTTAAAACTTAAGATTGAATTTATTCAGCAACTTCTGGGAACTATTTAACTTTTGCTACCAAAAAACTTTCACTTGACTGTGGAACTTTAATGAATAATTCTTCAATTTTCTTTCAAAATAAAGCCCCCAAGAATCTTGTTAAAAATTCATAAGTTGCTTAAAATACATTATTGTTTTATTTTTGGTACTCTTATTGAAAGATTTTAAGTGTTCAGCAATTTCTGTGGCATGCCTGAGCTGTACTTCAAGAGCTTCCAAACAGGATTATTCACTCAACATTTAACATATATCTTTACTCTCTGGAACTATATTTTCTCATTGTCTGGCTCACAAGTTAATTTGTTTACATCCCCTGCACAGCTTTAATTGAGCCTGGCCAGAATGTATGCTCTCATTTTATTTACCCTGCCTCGCCCCTGTCATCATTCGCCCCGTTATTAATAGGGCGTGTAGCTGCATCAATGACACTAGTCTTACAATGGTTCGTCCGTTCGTCGGTTCGTTCCTCCGGGATCCCCTGGTCCTTCGGTATCGTCAGCACCTTTTGTTTTCATTGTGATTTACGGGCATTTAAATGCATATCCTTGCGGCTTGTCTCGGGCGTAATTTGCATAATGCAAATGCTTCTCATGCGGACGGAACCGTGACTGCGGCGGCCACTGCCAGTGCACTGGCACGGGGATTGCACTCCGCCGCACACACACACACACATGTGTGGGTCACTCCCCCCACTCGCCCTCCGGCCACCCCTTTTGAGGTCAACCATTTCTGCGCAATTTTCGCCATTTTTCGCAACGTTATTCCGTCTGCAGCTGCTTTTCCAATTGTTCTCTAGCAGTCCTCCGCCTCCTCCACTCGTCGTGCTTACATAAGTAATTGAGTGTGTTTTCGATAATGCACTGGCACGGCATCACTTCCTCCTCTTCACCGACTCTGCCCTCCTAGTTTTCCACACTTTGTTTCGGTGTCGTTTGTATGAACTCTCGCCTGGCATTGAAGAGCTCTGCAAATACGAATAATATGCCCTGGGCCAGAGTTCAGCTTGCCCAACCCAGCCCGATCCTTCCCTTTTTTTCTCTAGTTCCCACAACTCCCTGCCCGGTGACCCACAAAGTGGATTTTGCCCAAAGATGCATTTCGGCAACAGCACTGGAGGGAATGGCAGCGGAAATCGACGGCGAGGGCTTCCATTGTACTTATTTGGGGTTTAGAGTGCTTAAAGCAATTGAAGGCAGGCCAATGGCAATGCAAGGGGATATTAGGAACTAAGCCTCATATTTAAATTAATTATAAGCCAGAAAATAACTCCTGTTGTAATCTTTCTTTGTAAATAATATAGTACCAGGGATGTTTTAGAAATTACTAGGTTTTTAAAACCTTTAAAAATTAGTCACAAGTATGGAAAAATGCATCACAAATGCAAAACTCAGTGTTAATTTAATTTCTACGTTTTGTAATTTTTAGGCATTTTTAAAACCTTTTTTAAGGGATTTAAATATCCTTTAATAATATATTTTTAATGTCACCCAATTTTAGTTTTAATTACCACGCGATTGCCTTTACTATCATTTTATACTTTTCACCCTTGAGGGTCTCAGTTAATTAACTCTTCAGGAAAATCAACAAGAAAATGTTGGTTTTATGTATGCAAAGGTTTTTTAAGGTTTTAAACTGTTCAACATAAAATTGAGAAACTTTATTCGTTTAAAAACTGAGGCTTGTAGAATTTTAACCCCCAATCTTAATTAAAAATGAAAGGTAGTGTATAAATCTATGTAAATGATAATTATTTGTCCTATTTAAAGCATATTTTGTTTCACGAAAAAGGGCGTAACTTTAAAGAAAACGTTCATTAATTTCCCCATTAATTCAGACGCCTCAGAAAATGAAATAAACACTAATGAACGCTTAGGCATACTTAATACATTTAGTGAATATTATTGGGCTTCCTCTCGCACTTCACACTTCCGGAAGACGGACTATCATGCTAATCCCTGCTTTTAGTTGGTAAATTGAATTCCCAGAAGCAGGCCCTCCCTTGTTCCATCGATAACCACAATCTGGGGCTTAAGTCCATCTTAACCGGGTGTCGCTGTGTTATCGCATACTCACCATCGTAGCAGACCTCGGAGTGCGGTATGCATAGCGTCCTAACAAACTGGCAGCCTGCAAGAAAAAATAGGAAGGGAAAGTCGTTGGTTAGTACATGAAAGAGTTGTTTAGCCATCACCATTATGAGGGGGTAAGTGGAGAGCTGAGCTGACTCTGAGCGGACTCTCAGTTGAGACATAATGATGTGGTAAGAGCCAAATCAGCATTACGGCGCTAAGCAGGCTCCTGACACCCAACCACCCACCCCACCTACCCCGATCCACCAGACACCTCCACTTTTGGCCCCAAGCCTCCACCATTGGCGCTTTTACTGGTGGTGTCATGTGTCGCTTGCCTGACTCTTGGCTAAATAAACGCTTTTTATGAGCATGTCGCACATGGCTAGCACGCACACACAACGAACGCTTTTCTGCCGACAGGCGAAGACAACTACAAATTCCTGGCCCAGAGGATGCCCGAAAATACGGCCGAGAGAGAGAGAGTGGGTGTCCCCTTCCGCCACTCCTCCTAGTTGTTAGTCAAATGTCTGTTTGGCGTGCCTCCGTGTGTGTGACGTCAACAAGAAGACCCGCATCGCTCCGGGAATTTGCCACTGAAAAATGTGCCCTCCTCCTCCTTGTCCGGGACAAGGTCTAGCATCATGTGTAACGCACGTCCGCCTCCTGCTGTCCCGCTGCCCTGCTCCACATTCCACCCACGCCCAAAATAGCGTCACTTTGGAACTTTGTTGTCAACAGTTTTCGTGGTCTTTGCCTGGCTTTAACTTTGGCCCGTGACAGCCGGAAAAAGGCGACGACGCTTCGACATTCGTTGGCCATTAATTAAGCCAAAGTAATTTCGCTTTTCTGGCAAAGCCGCCGCCCTCTCTGCGACACGACCCCTAAAAGCCGCATTTCTTCTGGCTGTTTTGTTTTTTAATTGCTGAAAAATTGCAGGCCCCCGGTTAAAAAGGGCAGCTTGAATTAATCCCAGCGGACTGAGGCACCCACAGCCGGGCTTCTCGTGATAAGCGCCTTATGAATGATGGCCACGAAACCAGAAATTAAGTAACTTCCCGCAAAAGAGTTCCTTTTGAAAAGAAGAGAGGACCTCTCATAATAAATTCATCATCAGACAGATGAAAAGGTCTGAGAGGGACTGTCAGCACAAGTGGCGGAAATGTCAATTACTTGGACAGAAAGCCGTAGAGAGTCAGCCAAGAAGAGATGACTGACAGAGTCATCCACATAATTCTTAATATAAAAACAGCAAAGCAGAAAAATGCACGCCACCACCTTTTGGTCTGTCCTAATGGCTCTTCTGGAAGTGCGAAAAACTTGAGTTTTATTCTCTGTGTAGTTAGCAGCCAAGTGGCCACATTGTTTGACCATACGCCACAGTGTCGAGCTTTTTCCAAAGACCTCTCTATCCGCCATGTCCTTTCGGCATTGTCGAGTCGACAGATTGAAGTGCACTCCCAGGGCAGAGCAAGCACCATAAACGCTCACTTTGTCTCCTTTTCACCATGGCTCCGGCTCCGATTCAATTCTGGTCCTGCGGCTGCTCCAGTTTCTGCCCTTACCCCGGCTCTGCTGTGAAAACAGTCAATAAATGTGGCGACAGAAGCCGTCTGTCAATTATCAATAGGCCAACAGAGACGTGACCTGCATCATGACGGGAAAACTGGGGCAAAAATAGAAACTAATTAAATGAGATGCCCCAGCAATTTTGCGGCAAGTGCGCGGTCAAATTGTGACGGCGGGCAGGAGTCAGCGAGTGCCTTTTCCCGCACTCTAGCACTCTGTTTTCTCTGTCAACAACAACGAGAACCAATCGTCATGGGGGATCTGGAGTCTCTTGGGAGGGTCGCAGACTTGTCTCATAAATATGCCGCCTCATGGCCGTTGCCGTCTCTCGTTTATTTCCCTTTCAGCCAACTGATAAGGCCACGGGACGTATGCGCAATATGCCGACGCCGTTACCTGCCACATTCATGGGGCCAGTTTAACAGCCTCGTTGAGCCATGCAAATGCGCAAAGGGGCATTGCAACGCATCGAGTGGGGCAATAAAAATAAAAGAGGTCCTGCGCCGGCAGACTGCAACCTGCGAATCGAGGCTAAAAGCTTTTACGGCAGCAAAATCCCCGTCGGGCAGTTATCTCTTCGACATTTGCCTGCCGCCCTCGGCTCTCCTCGTCTCCGGATGGTGATGCAACTATTATTTATGGCGGATTCGATTTTCTACGCAGGGGAATGAAAAGCAAGGACCTCGCCGACCACAACGAGGAAATTGCAAAGCTGGCCGCCTGCATTCGTCGGGATTGGCAATCAACAAATCAAAATCTGTGATGTTGGAGGGGCAGCAATCGTTCTTTTGTGCTGCTCACAGTTGATTGATAAGTTTGCGGTTTGTCGATTCCTACTTGATTGGAGGGTGCCCCAGCTCCCAGCTCCCAGCTCCCAGCTTCTAGTCCCAGTTGGGAAATCCTTGCCGGCCTAAATTATGCCACAGCCTGAAGACCGAGCAAACAGAGCGAGAGCTAGAGAGAGGGAGACGCAACAATTTAATAAATTTTCCGCTCCAAGGCAAAATTGAAAATTCCGGACGCACTCCCGCACCCACACCCGCACCCACGCCCCCGATGCGGTTGCCTTGGACGCAGCAGCAGCGTTTTGATTGATGTCCACCAGCACACCGCACATATTTAAGAGGAAGCTCCTTGGGTGGGCATCCCTCCACCCCCGGCTGTTTACTTATGTATGTGACTCGCTGGGAGCCCGGTGGTGAGGCTTCCAGGTCCTTCTGCTGTTTGCTTTTGGGTCAAGGCATTAAAAAAAAAAGATTTTCATTTCATAACGACATTTTTTCTCCTGTCAGCTGGCCAGCCAGGACGCAGCCACAACGCACAACACACGAGCGCAAACACAGCCTCGGCACGTGTGGCCCGGACAACGTGTGGTATGTGCAATATGCGGAGGCGAGCGCTGAGAGCGTTGAGAGCGTCTTTAAGGACAATAACGAATGTCCGCACGTTGATTACGTGTGGCATTTACCTCAGCAGCAGGAGCTGCTGCCACTTTGGCATGAAGGTGTGCAAACAAACATTTCCTGCGATTCTAAAAAGTTTGACTTGCAGGAGGATACGGTTGGTGGTTTGTTATATGTAAACAAGGAATGGATCGAAGCGCTAAATTAACAAACGTAGCTACGTTTGGTGGAATGTGTAAAGAGCAACGAGTAACGATGTATTCGTCTCCGAATTGAGTGAAAATTTAAAGACCATAACCTCACAGTATATTCAAAAACACATCTTTTAAGGATTATTTCATCAAAGGAAATATTTTCGCATTAATTTCGTTATCAACAAAGTTAAAATCAAAAGAGAACAATGTTGTACAAGCCCAAAACTGGCGTTTAAAACGCAATTACCCCACAACACACAGGCGAATGTTGTGAAACATTCTCATAAAAACATGGAAAACAAGACAAATTTTCTTTTGGCTTTTGGATAAAAAAGATGCGTTAAAGTCGTCCCATCCCGCTTCCCTTCGTCCACAATGCTCGCTGGCGGCGATTCAGGGGGAAAGCGTCGAAAGGACGTGCCAATGCCGGGGCGAACAAGGCGAACAACTGTCAGGGAGGCGGCGGCACAAAGGAAATAAATAATAACAAAGGACATTAATCATGACAACGACAGGGTGACACAAGGAGGAGGAGAAGGAGGCGGAGCACGGCCAATGGCAAAGCAAACATGATGCAAGTGTTCCGCACAGCTCGTTAAAGGGCAGCATAACAAGTACACAGAAGGCAGTGCCAGGACTCTCCCCGCAGCGGAGGTCCTGTCACGGGAAAAGTAGTAACCCGGACACAGAGGCAGCGGCAGGCCTTGGCGCCTGTTTATGCATTAAAGTCGCTCTTTTGCCTACTTGACTTGCTAAGCATTTAATGCCTTCGCACACACATGCTCCGTGCAAAGCAAACAGGGAAACAAACCCGTAAAAGGCACGGACGGAGGATGCAGTACCTCAGCCTCCTCCGCCATAAAGCTTTTTTTCCATAGCTTAGTTGCAGCTGCAAAAGTTGTCGCTGCTTTGCAGCTTTATTAAGTGTAAATAACCGCCGGCATTTCACAGCAGCTCCAGCCCGCCAGCCACATTCCTTTGAGTGGGGCATTCCTCATGACAGAACAGCGCAGCCCACAGACGGAAAAAACAAAGTTTTGCGAACTAAAAAATATAAACAGTAATTCAAGGCACAATCTACTGTCACAAGAAGATGATATTTGTTGGCTTGAGTCCTTTGAAGGTCCTTGAATCTTTCGTATAACTTGCTTAAGCATGAAATAAATCTAATTGGCAACCAATTTCAATATCTTAATTATGAAAACATGTAAATAAAATACATAGTTTCAAATAAAGTATATATTTTTCGGGAACATTAATCCTTAATTTAGCTTTAGGCTGTAGGTTTCATTTCGTTTGACTTTAAAAAGTTAATCAAATGCAAAAAGGACTTTAATTAGTGTCCATTCATTTTTCTGTGTGTGGTCTCCTCCAACATGTTGCTGCCACTCTGAGCAGTTTTTCATTTTCTCTCTGACGCCGCCGGCGGCTCCTTGATTTATGCAAACTCATTTTATTCATAAATTTTAAACACGTTTGACGTCGTTGGCCGGGGGCTATGAAATTTTGGTGCCGCGAGGCGAGGATGAGGGTGCTGGGGTTCTGCCATGCCAACTGTCTCTGCTCCTGCTCATGACCCGGTCCCCGGGTCTCCCCCTGCTCCTGCACTCACTGCTGCTCTTTGCCCCCGTTCCTGCCTTTAGTCCTGCTCCTGCCTGAATGCGGGTTCGTTGATTTATCTAGCCACATTTCTAAACAAATATTTTTGGCCTCTTCCTGGCAACCGACGACGCCAGTGACCCACACAAATTTGGCACGCAATTAGGCGGACTCCGGCTCTGTTCTTCCTCGCCCACTCGAAACGAACGTCCAGCATAAATATAAACTTTTTATGGCAGCCACTTGGACGCCTGCTCATCCTGGGCCTAGGGCAGGACTAATAAATTGAGTGCCACTTCTGGACGGGCTGGAAGATAAAGCGCTGGAGGGCAGAAAGGATGAGGAATTCGAGCTTTAGTCTAGGTCTGTGTAGGCAAAGGAAACGTTTATACATATATATAAACAGTTCATCCAAGGAAAAGCGACTGCCGGATGTCAACAGTGTTCAAATATGTGTCAAGTACCTGTCGAAAAATTGTTTGTTTATCGGAAGCAAGATATGAAAGATGGGAAAACCAGAAGGCATATATAGAGATACAGACCAACAAAATATTGACATGTGGAAAGATACTTTCGAAGGCAAATCAAGCTCAAAGTGTAGTTATTTGTATTTATTTTTGATTATTTGTCTGCTGCTATGCAAAATGAATCCTTGTAGAGAGGGAGACCTTGGCATTCTGGACAGTAATTAAAAAATCACTCAAAATAGCTAACCATTCCACTTTTTCCAAGGACCCTGAGATGCCTGGCCTTCAAATTCAAATGAATTTCGTTCTCTCCTCTGGCGACGTCTGTGGTGATGACAAATTTCAAGTGAAATTCCTAACGAAGTTGCTTGTCTCATTACCAGGGATCTGTTGTCGGCTTGGTCATCGCCTCAAATTACACTCAGAAACGTGCGGATACATCTCTCAGTTTCACGAGGGCTTTTCAATTTAAAATGAAAAGCTGGTCTTAGATATCTTGCCTGCATTTAAATTTATTTATTTTCAGCTCAATGCATGATGAAGTAGTTTTACCTACAAAATGGTGTGCTTTCTTTTGCTAGCCAAAAACAGAGCACGAGGACAGCAGGACATCAATTTTGCATTTCATTCATGAGGTCCTTTGAATGCCATCACCTTCTCTCTCTCTCCCTCCCTGGCTGCTGCTGCGCTCTCTGTGCGATTTATTAGAAATTCCGTTTCCAAAGTGACCTGCAATGGACCTACTGCAGCAGCTATGGTGAGACCTCCAACGCATTCTTCTTCCAGGACCAAAACTGAAATGAAATTGGCACCGGCAGGCAGCCTGCCTGGTTAAGAGGGGAGGAGGCGCACAATCGAAAACGCATTTGTACCCAAATCCGAAGCTAGACCGAAATTTCAAATATGATGACTGATTGCTAGCCTAGGGCGAACACAGGTTGCAGCTCCTGAGGAGAGATGCACCTCATCCTTTGGCCCGTTACATTTTGCAAGTCAGCAGAGTGCAGCCAATAGCATCGCCCCCTCATTTCGCATGGATTTATGCCAAATATGCAGAAATGATCTAACCGAGTTCCAATCCCATGCAAATCCCAGGCAATTGGCTTGATGAGAATCCCGCCTTTGGTAACCGGAGCACACGCCGAATAAAATAAATAAAATAAATTGTTAAACGCCCGCCGCCTTGCAGGGGCGAATCAAATTTACGATGCGATCAAATTGATTTAATTAAATGCAAATAAGTTGTAGCCACTGTGCGCCTCAATGGATTTAATGTGCAATTACTTTTCCAATTTGCCATAAAAGAATACACACACAAATCTTGATTGCTTATTATTTGGGGCACATCTTTCACCATTTCCCGGTCTCAGTCTCTCTACTTGTTCCTCTCCGGTTCTTTGGTTTTCATTAATGTTTACGCGCGGGGTCCCGCTTCCACCTCCCGCCCAACCGACCGAGGGGCGCAGCCGTGTGACGTACGGCACGAATCGCGAACTAGATAGACGCGTTAGAAGGACAGACGAAATGTACGAGGAAACATTAGGAGATAATATAATAAACTATAAATATATAAATAAATAAAAACACATGCAAAATAATGATCTAATAATAAAAATATATAACCATAACCATAATTTAATAAATATACAAAATATAAAAAATAAAAAAAAAAAAATAAAAAAAAATAAAAAGAAAAACGCATGCAAAATAAGTGCTACTCTACGAGATAACTACTACAAGTCATGCAAGAATAAATAAATAGGTAAAATAAAAAGAAACGCATGCAAAATTAGACTACGGTGCTACACTACGAGCTAACTCTACAAGTATTAAGGTTTTTAGGCAGCTTTTAATTTGCGTTCATTAACAGGGAGAGGGGGACGGAGGACTGTCGGCAAAATCGAAGGATGGGCCTAGTGGCCCACAGGATTCGCTCATGAATTTTCATTAATTTGCGCAAAGTTGTCGTCCTGCCGCCGACGCTGTTTGTGTTGCTGTTGTGCATGAAAAATTCATTAGATTTTTTGCATAAATTATGGTCGGGCCAAGATAGGCGAGGAGTCGGGGCCGAAAAACCAACTGGAAAATGTTCTCTAAACTTTCCCAGAGAACATTTGGCTGACAAAATCGCGAGGAACGAAACTTAGGTCAAATATTTGACACTCCAAAAGTTTCCACCTGATGGAGAGGCCCAGGAGAGCATTTAAACGACATAAAACAGAAAATTAAATTTGACCCACTTAGCTGTGGTGTATTAATTTAAATTAGCGTGGAAAATTAATGTTTTAGCTGTCGTTTAAAGGCAATAATTATTTAATTTTTTCATAGTTAACTATTTATATTTCGTAATTTGGACAGATATTCGGGGGTTGCAAAAATACAAAAAAAAAAATACAATACAAAATTTAAGCATTCCCAGGAATATATGCAGTATCTCTGATCAATTCTGAGCGGGTTTTAGCTTCCCGCCATGGTGGTTCGTCGCTGAATGCGGGGTGCAGACTGAGAAGAGGAGGCGGAACAAGACATGGGAGCTGCCACTTTAAGGGCAGGACATTTGCTGGTTTTCAGCTCCGAATCCACCTCTACGCTGAGAGCACTCTGATTCACAATGGTTTTCCTGAGCGTGGAAGGAGCTTTTGGAGAGGATGGAGTGGACTTCATATTTACGGCAATAATGTCGCTTTCGGAGGACTCTTGCTCCTCTGCAGTGGATTCCGAATCAGAATCCTCTTCGTCACTGCTTAATTCCGTTTCATCGGAATCGGAGTCATCGTCGGACTCGCTATCCAAATCAGAATTGGAATCAGAATCACTATCACTATCACCTTTCTCGACTCCGTCCTCATTCTCGTCATCGTCCTGGCTTTCATCGCTGTCCTGAATGTGGATATTCAAATTCATATATTCATTGAGCTTTCTGCGCTGCTCCTTTAGGGACATGCACATCTGCTTTTCCTGGTCATAGAGCTGGTTTACCAGGGCCAACAGACGCTTACAAGTGAGATCTTTCGGCTTTTTGTCGTCGCTTATGGTGGGTAAGGTATCACTTTCCATAGGACTTCCTCCATTGTTTGTTAAGGTTCTTGCATTTAATTCTTCCTGGGACATTTTGAGTGTTTTATCGCCAAAAATTTGAATTATAATACTAGGAATTTGGTAATTAGTATCACAAGGATTTAGCAGCAGTATGAATATATTGATTTCTAAATAAATATGAAACTTTTATTTCACTGCCTACCTTTTAAAGTGATGAAGTAATAGTTGCCATAATATTATAAATTATTATACATTTATTATAAATAATAACTAAATACGTTTGCAATAAAGATAAATATGCTTTTAACACTTTTGATTTGAATATTAGTAAATAATCAAAGCTTAAACCAGATTCATAAATCAAAGGAGAGAATTGTAAATTGCGCACTTTTATCACTTTCAATTTCGAGTTCAGCAAATTGAAGCAATGATATTTTATGTGCGACCTTAATTTGCTGTGCGGCCCACCATCAGAATCAATTACTGTAGAGCCACAAAGTAAGCACATCGCAGGTGGGGCCATTTATTTGTGCGGTCTCCGGCAGATAAATCAAATCATTAGCTCGGGGTCACTGAAGCTGGTAGGTACATGGGTCAATGGGTGACTGGGTGAGGGTGTGGGTGTAAAAGTAGGGTTTGGGGTGTGGGGTGTATTAATGCCAAATTAGAGACGCCCAATGGAGCGTGATTACGCGCAGGCAAAATATCGCACAGAACACATAAATACACATTTGCGTTGTTTGGTGCGTACGGGAAAACGCTTATTTGCGTATGCGTGGCACATAAAAATCCAGTTCTTATTAAATTTCCGCACGCCTACGCACATGTCCTAGGCCTTGATGTGGGGATAACCCAGAGATTCGGCAGCCCGTCACCCTTAACCCGCGGCAGTCGGCAGTTGGGAGCAGCTGTTGGGGGTGGTTCTTGCCATTTGCTCAATGAATTTTGCATGTTTTTGTCGTCGGCCCCAAAGAGAGGGAGGTCGCCCATGTGCGTATGTTTTTTACACTTGCCAGAGGCTAGGATCTCGTTTGGTTTCCTATTTGCTCGCCTTAAGTGGGACGGAGGACTGGCTGGCTTTGTTACACCTTCACGGCCCAGAAGGGGCGGGCGGTGGAAGTAAACAATATTAACATTAAATTAACATTTATTTGCTTTTGCCAATGGCTTCCCTGCCCCATCCCCCTGCCGTGTCTCAAATAAATACATTTACATACATTACGCAACATATGAAGAGGTCTGCCGGCTTTCGGTAGTATAGTTCCTGGCCGCCTCTAGTTGCCATTAAAATGGCCTAATGGTCCGCCGGTTCCAAGGACGAACAAATAAAAGCCACAAAAAGTGGGAAGAAAAAGTGAAGCAGAAAGGGAACCCCCGAAAATGGGAACTTCAAAAGGCAAAGCCAGAACAAAGTGCCAACAAAGTAATTGCAGGGATTTGCCTTGCGGCCAGGTCGGTGGGGAAGAGAAAAAAAAAAGAGAGACGGAGGGAGGCGGACCCCAGACCACGCCTATTTTCCATGTGGGAAAATAATACTCAAAGGCAGGCGGTGTGGGCTTCGAAGACTGGCAACCAGTTGCCGCGCCATTTTCTCGTTTTGTTTTTTCCCCTCCACTTCAGAGGATTCCTTTTTTTTTTAATGTGCCAAAATATATATTTGTAACTGCCTGTGCCTGGGTTGGTTGTCGTTTGAACAATTTTACGCATATTTGCACTCAAATATAACATTCACATACACATGTATGGATCCTGGGCCCAACGCCCAGATATTTACGATGGCACGTTAATTTTTATGACATTCGCTCGCTGGCAATTTTGCTCGCCCCCTTCAAATGTCCTCCGCCAGACAGCGATTCCGATTTCCATTATATTCCAGGGATATGAACGGCGGTTCTGCGGAATGCACCTCAAAAGGCCACAAAAGGACCACAAAATACAGGGGCTAATAAACCTATTAAATCTGGTGATAAATGACGAAGAGGCGGATTTAAAAGTTTTATACCATCTTTGAAATGTAGAGTATGGTAGGAACAGAGATGTAATGGTCCTCCATATATAAGGAGCTTGTAGTTTATAATAAACATTACCTTATGCTAATTCGTGCAGCATTATTGGAGATACTTACTAGAAAAGGCTCTTGAAAGGATATTGAAGCAGTAAGACTAATCATCATTTCTGTGTAAATTAGAGTATTAAACTGTTCTCCTAATTCCATTTCCAACTGGTATTTATTTAAAGAAAAGCTGCAAATTGAACTGCCATTATGCCGAGATTTATTTCTAAAGCCCCAGCTATTGACACTTTATATATTGAACAAATATGAGTCCTTGCTGGGCATCACCCAGTTCGAGGCCATCGACTGTGGCTCCAGTTTTATTGTTATTGTACTTTTGTTATTGTATATTTTTATGTGGCTGCATCTTAACGATGATTACGGTTATTATTCATTAGCCACGCTTTTGTCAGCCTGCTCCTTTTCCTCCCTCGTCCCTGATTGTCCGCAATTTCTTCTGCCAATCGGGATGGGTGTGGGCCAATGAAGGAGTGTCTGGCCATGGTTCATTGGCCATTCAATATCTTTTCTTCTGCTCGATTGCTTATCTCCGACACGAAACACGATGGCCAGGACCTGGGCAGGACCTGGCTCTGACCCTGCCTGCTCCCTTGGCTACGGCGGTTTAAGAAGAGTCTAGGTGGGCGGCATCTTGGATGGGCGGGGCACTCACGTACACATACCCAGAAAATAGATGATGTGTGTGTGCTCAATTGTTCCAGTTTTATCTCTTAATTACATCTTCATCTGGCCATTGAAAGCCTTCAGCTCGGAAAGTTTAATTAACTTGGCAGGCAGGAGCGCTGGCAGGACCTCTGAAGTATCGATGGGCGCCAGATGCGAGTGCTCCAAACCGATACTGGCCATCATTTGGTCCACTGCACCACATTATGTAGCCACATAATTGAATTGCCACTAAAGTATACTAAATATGACAGAAACAAGCGTGTGCTGTGCGGGTTATGGCCAGATAATAAATTAATTTCAGGAATTAGAATCAGAACACGAAAGTTTCCCTTTGTTTCACATTACTTCGATTAGTATAGCCCGCTTTATGCATTTAATTAATCCACTTTTTTCTCAATAAGCTGTGGGCATTGTTTTCATCAACTGAACAAACATTTTATCAAAACAGTTTGGTATTTACTAAGCGCAAAATCAAAAAAATCCTTTGAATATTAATAAAATTTAATAATTAAATTTCTATTTTCCACCCATTAAGCCTGGCATTTTCTAAATTTTCACTTGAATCATTTTTCATGAAGGGAAGATAATAAATTTGCATCAAGCTGTTTACTTTCAATATTTGCCTGAATTTTCAGCAAACGATTCCCAAAGCAGAAAACCTCTAATCTCAGACAGCCCATTTCAGCTAACTGTTTTCCACTTAGCACGACTTAATCCCCTAAACGGAAACTCAAACTGAAAACTGGTATAAATTTTCCTCTTTTTTGTGGGCGAGGACAATGGGTAAATGAGGGGAAAAATGCAACAGTAACTGTCGCTCTCACATATACCCTTATGCAGTATGTATGGCGCAAAGTGCGTTGTGAGCCTGTTGGCTTTAATTGCGGCGCTTAAAAACGCTTGCACAATGCCAGACGAGTTTAGGGCTTAGCAGCAGATGCAACTGCACTTTCCCAGCCATTTTCCACAGCTCTCTGGGCCCCATTTAGCCCCGTCCAAATTGAGCGTGCTGTGCTCTCGGTCGGTTGACAAGCCGAACAGGAAAAAATAACTCGTAAAAAGTTGCGATCCACTCGAGCGCAAGGATATGGCTGCCTCCTTCCTCGAGAGGCTCCTTCGGCACTTCGATTATGTTCGCAATCTGTTTACGTTAACAATGCCCCACCCAGCCATGGCGCATCCTGGCAAACAGACAGCAATTTGTTCCAAATGACTTGAGCGTGGCGCAAATTAAGTGCATTTTCATTAGTTGCAAGTTCCGAGTTGTTCGCTATTACTCGGCCCCCGGACCATTTGAGAAATTAAATTGCCAGGAATCACTGACAGAGAAGGGAGGGAGTTGCTGTTATCGTTAGAGTGGAGCAGCGGCATTGAGAGGGCGCTTCAGATTCCCGGACAGCAATTATTTTTCCGGCTCACATTCGCTCTGAGCCTTGGCATGCCACCCTCCACGCAGGCCATCCACGGGATAGCTTTCACCACTCAACGCAGTCATCCATCCTTTATGAATTTCGCCCATGTGCAAAGTTATTTGCCAGTGGAAAATGGAGGAAAAAACGGGCTAGGTGAACCTTGCTCCAGTTTAAAACGGATGGCGAAGGGATCAACAAAATATTTGTGGAGAGAACAGGTGTAGAGTAGCGCCTCGGGTCAGGGGGCAGGAGGTTTTTCCAGGTGAAGCTTAGGTGAAGAAAAATGCATTGATATTTCAACCTGGCCAAAAAACTGTCCCCAGTCATGTTTTTGTTTCCCGAAACTTTTCCCCAACTGATGTTCGTAGAAAACTTTGACAAAACAAAAAGGTGACGAAACAGTCGGCTTTAAATTAAAGCCCCCCAACTTTAGAGTTTGCATTTTTAGGAAGAACTGCCACAACCCCAAATTGGCATCCAATTTGCCAACCAATATTTTACCCAGAATTGGAAATTAAAAGCAATTTACTCGGTGCTCTTTTCAAATTCCCACCGGAGCTCCTAGGAAACATTCGAGCCCCTAAAAGCGGGAACCAACACGAGAACCCCAACTAATAGTACATATATTTGCATCCATATAGCTTTGAACAATTGTGGTTTGCGGGCCAAATCAACCGCAGAGCATGATGTAAAGTGGCAGGCAGAGGTGCGCCGCATGCCGTTTGGCCGAAAATAAAAGCACCACGGCGTATACGCAATAACTAACAAGAGCGCACAGGCCTTTACATGGAAATTGCATTAGCAGAGCGACTGCATCTAGTTAAAAAGTTTTCAATGCCTGTCCAGAGCTCCAACAGGCCAACAAATTAATAATGCATTCGGATCTGATTCGAAAATGTGAAAATGCGCGAAAATGTAAAATCCAATTCCGATTCCATGGAAGTGGCCAGCGGGCAGCGGGAGGATGAGCAGAGCGAGCTGGCTTTGCATCTGGCGGGGATTTAGCTTTGGCTTTGGCTTTGGCCGGGAGATTGAACTGAATTTCATTAAATGCGTAGAGAAAATATGAAAACTATCTGGCTTTCAAAATGAGTGCAAATATTTGTTTTTCAAATGAAATGAATAAATGCAGCAGGGCGCACACTGCAGCTCCTCCTCCTCCTTCGACTACTGTCATCATTTTAATGAAGTTGTTTTTGCCATTTTCTGTGCTGGGCTGATGATCCCCACCCAGCACGCATCGTTGGCTGACAAAGGTCAATGTGTTAGACTGTTGCATGCAACAGGGAGCTCTCGAGGGGCTGTCATGTGCGAATCCCCCAGCAGCTCGGCTTACACAGTCACTACTCCGTCTGGTGGTGGTGGTGCTGCTGCTGCTGCAGCTGCTCCTGTTAATTAAATTTTATTGTGCAGCCATCAAAAGTTGCGGGAAGGGAGGCGCCACCATGAAATATTTGCAACCAAGGAGGAGCAGCATGAGCGGCTCGAGCATCAGCTGCTGCTGCTAATGATGATGTCGGTTGTTGACTGTTGGCTGTTGGCTGTTGGCTGTTGCTCGTCGCCTGGCTGCTAATTTATACACACAGACATGTGACACGGTCGCCAACAATGCCGCCCGTTGTGAGGAGCAGACGACTGCACAGCCAGGACATTTATCGGTTTGTGTATCTCTGTATCTGAACAAGGGCGTGTGCACCTGCAGGAGGCGAAGGCGGGGCAGCAGCAGCAGCAGGAGCAGGGCCAGCATCAGCAATCAATAAATCCCAGGACCCAGCTCCTGTTGATTCTTGCGCAAGCCTGTGCATGTGGTTAACTGGTTAACTTTGCATGTGGGCTGATTGCTGACGTGCATGCACCGAAAGCTGCAAATTTGCATGGCCAACCCGGGCAGCATCCCCGCCAGTAGCAGCAGCAACAAAGGCATTACTGTGGCAACAGCAGCAGCAGCAGCATCAACTAGTTGTTGTCATGGCAGCATGGAAGCCTCGCAGGCCAGGATATGAGCTGTGAATCCTGCGCCCGAGCTCCGCCCACCCCATGTCCTGCACTTCCCTGGCATGGCCATGAATACGTAAGGAACTTGGAGAGATGAATATGATAAGTTGGAAAACGGTTAGACCAAGCACGACTTGAGTTGAGCGTAAAAGAAACTGACAGCTTGCGGTGGATAATTTATGCTTGGATAAAATAATTACGAAGATTTTAAATCTCTTGAATTAGCCAAGAGAATTATGCTAAAAGGATTTGGAGCAGAACGATTTAATGAATGTCTGGAAACGGCATGTGATTAAACAAATTTATGAGCTGTTCTTTTATCATAATTTATTATAATAAAAGAGCACTAAACTGTCGAGTTTGTTTAATAAATTTTCAAAACTTTCAATAATTCAGCGGGATTAGAAATTAACAAATATAAAAGTTTGTGTTTGGTTTTCCATCAAAAAGCAAACATTCATTTCTGGCTGCGAATACATTTTAAATATTAATGAGCTGCTGTTTGAACGAATGTGCATATTTGAATTATTTAAGAAGACTAAACGAAAGTTTGGCAAAGTGAAAAGGGAATTGAGCAAAGTGTGAAACTATTTCCGAATAAATATTAAAATGGAAAACATAGTCAACTGGCAGCGAAACATATTGAAAAAATAAATCATTCAATTCAATCAACATTTAATGGATTTTTGCAGCACAATGTTGAACAGATAAAAGCATTCTAATTTTCAGTATTGTCTAAAAACCATTCCCATTTTTGGCTTAGCTTTAATACAATTATTTTAAGCCCAAAAAAGTTGGATTCTCGCAGTTCAGAATGAAATTCAATAAGCCGTTCAATTAAATTCGGTGAAAACTTTCAGATGTTTGGCTAACTCTTCCGGAAAAGCCTTCAATCTGAGAGCATTTACACTCCACCCTAATCAAATTTCCAACTGACAAAATCAATACCTTTGCTTCTCACAATTTTCTCTGTCCGTAGCTGCCCCAAAACACGGTTTGCCACATCGAAGCCTGTTGCACATGGTAATTTTGTTTCCCAAGTGTAACTTGTTTAGCCTGCTCTCGGCTGGGTTCCGGCCATTTTCTATGCGGCACATGTACCTGGATGCAGTTGCAGTCCATGTTCCTGGCTCTGGCCAATTGGATTAGGCCCTGGTGTGGGGCTAAACTAGTTAAAAACATATTTACCCAGCCCCAGACCTGGGCAATCCCGTAGTCCGGGGACAGAAGTTAAAGGCCATGTTGCTCCGCTGCGTGCGCTGTGTTTTGTGTGCGTCAAAGTTTTAATTAATCTGGTTTATGTTTTCGCCACAAACCAGAAAAAGCTTACAGCACACGGGGCGGGTGTCCAGGGAAATCGCAAGATACCAGGGATTAATAACACCATTGGTTTTCATGGTATATTCTACAGGGTTTTGAAATACATATATTTACATATAGCCTATTAGGCTTCAATATATAATCTTCATTATAAATTATTATTTCTGTTGAATTTAAATGAATGGAAAATATTTATACTATTTATATTATAATTCAACACTCACCAACATTGCCCTCCGCTTGCACAGGATCTCCATGTGTGACGAGCAGGAGAATCAGCAGTAGGAATCCAATTTGGAGCAGTTTGGCCGGCCTGTTCAGGGTGTCCAGGGTGCAGCATAGCAGTCCACCGCCTCCGCCAGACCCACAGCCACGCACCTCGCGGTTCCGCGCACCCTCACTGATCAGTAGGCGACCACGGGCTTGCAGCGTCGCTGGCAACTTGCGCTGGTGATGCAGTAGCTCGTGCAGGCGCGGCTGCACCTTGGGCGGACCGGGCTCTGGCTTCGCTAGCGGATGGTGCTGCTGGTGATGGTGGGTTCGCTGCTTAGGTCGGGACTGCTGGCATGCTCCCGCTGCTGGATCCTGGCCCTTTTCCGTTCGTCGTGCTCTCTGATGCTTCGGCTCTTCACTTGTGGTGCATGGATGTTGCTGCTGTTGTTGTACATTGCTTGCCATGATAATCGGCACACCTGAAATTGAAATGATAAAACAAATTAATAGGTTAATAGCCTTGATCGAGACTAGCATACCTAGTTACTGCCTTGTTAATATAATTAAGAATTTAATTAAAACCCATTAAGGTTTGATGAATTAAAAATTCATTTGATTTTACCTACAAAATATGCTAATGTTATTACCCCATTTCAACCTTTGTTATACCTCTAAAGCCTCTTTACCTTGAGTACCTGAATTTTTAAAAATATTAATTCTATTCGCCTTTTCAATTAGTTCTTCTTTTCGCATTTTCGCCATGGCCGTATCTTCACGAAAATCTCTTTCAAATTTATGCAGGCATTCGCACTAATAACACCGCCCTCCAGCTTCAAGTGGTGGCTCCTTATTGTTGTTACCGGAAATTAGCAATGTATATTCGGGGCGCTGCCTGGCACGGCCCGTTTGCCTCTTGAGAGAAATTGCATTTTATTGTGCCAGGGACAACTTTTCGCTTTCCGGCATTTCCATATTTCATATTTTCACACAATCCGCACAATGCCGCACCGAGCACCTCCGTGGGGGGGGAAGGGAGGAAGAGGAATAAAAGTGGCTGAAATCTTTGTTGTTCGTGCCCATTTGTCGCGCTGCAGTTTCCTGTTTTTTAGTTGCTGCTCCTTTGTGCGGGCTCGCTTAGCCCCCGGTGACTCTGGCTGCCGAATGCTTAGCGAGAGTATTTCTTGCTCTTTATATGGTAATAAATGTCAGACTTTGGTTAGCCCACAGCCACCGTCTCCAGCAAAGGGAAATTGATTTTCTTTGCCGCTTCACTGCCTCGTGACGGTGACGATGGCGGTGACGGGCAGGTGGTCGGGGTTGGCTCTGGATCCTGTCTGGGTCATTTGGCGATAAGCGCGTCAGCCTCGCTCAAGGTTGACATATTTCGGATGGAGGCTGCTGTGGCTGCCAACTTCATTTCATTCTGGAGGCAGCGACGGAACCGCCCACGAAATGGGATTCCAGCTCATCAACGCAGCACCACCGCAAAGATGCGGCGGATTAAGGTCCCCGTAGAAGAAACGTCAAATTATCGAGGGAAATGGAAGCAATATAAACAAGATACCAAATAAAATAACCTGTCAACTGCAAACAAATACGGAAAGAACATATGTTCGGTTTGTAATGGACGACGTCCTGGAAAACTGAAAGCTTTGCCGTCATCAAACTAATTTCCTAAACAAAGTGGAATCAATCAATTAGAAAATCCTTGGAAATCCCTGCGAAAAGTCAATTATGGGACTTGAAATTCATAGGAAAGGAAAGGCAACTAGTTTCGTTTTCATTGTGTAGTAAAATCAATAAATAAATTCATTCGGCGAACAAGAGCAGCTGCTGCTGGTCTTAATATAAATGTCTTGACTAACATCTCAATTACAGAAGCATCTTTAGTTGTAACATGTCTGGGACATGGTAATATGATTTCAATCATTCCTCGAAACTTGCATGATTAATGTGTTCCAGATTCTTGCCCCCAGCCAGCATCTAATGGAGTTTATTTGCCCCAGGGTCGGTAGAGCCTAGAACCCGCTTCTTAGCGATGTCTCCTTGGGCTCCTTGCGCTGGGTTGGGTTCATTTTTCATGCACAGGCCGTAGCAACAACTGAACTACAAAGCTAAAACTAAGCCCCAATAACTTGGACGGGCCCAGATGACACCGCAGCATATGGGGCGGGATAATTAATCATGGGACGAACGTGCCAGGCCAGCCAAAAAGTTTTCCCATCCCTACAACCCCAGCGTCGACCCGGCAAAACTCAACTGAACCGAAACACATTGAATCGAGACGAATCGACCGAAAAGTTAAAAGCCAAACTGAACTCGGTGCGAATTCATGGCTGGCCGAAAGGGAATATCTGATTAGTTGGCCTCTCGAATTCAATTAAGGTGACAGGCCAGAAGACCTTGCGGTGGCCCCATGGCCGCCTGCATCATCCTTGGCCTCGTGGTCCTCCTTCCGCTTCTGCTCCAGCCACTTTGCTGCCCCTTGTGAATAATTCATGCAACTCAATTAGGCGTTGACCTGGCGATAAAGTTTAATAATTGCAGGCGGCGGTCTGTCCTTTTTTTTGCTCACACCTTAATTAAAGGAACCGAGCAATTAAAAACGCATCAGGACACAGAACAAAGCGAAGGCAGGTAAAAAAAGTAATAGGCAAGGACACCGGCTATGAGATACCTGGTAGGAAGTTTGCAGTTCTTAAATTTTATTTATTTATATTTTTTATATTTGGGCAGAAAGGTAAAACTATAGATAATGTTAAATATTATTTTAAAAGTCAATATAACTGACAGTTCAAATTGTAACACTATCGATATCGTAATAGTATCGATAGTGAAAAAAATATCGCATCGATGGTGTACACTGTACAGTCTCAGCAAAGATATGTCCATTTGTATGTACATACTTACATTTTCGTAAAAGAAGCAATCCAATGTAAATGTAATTTCCGGAACGAGTAAAAGCGAGGGACGCGCTAATGGGGCGTGGCACTTTTTTAATATAGTTAACACCACACATATGTACGTATATACACATAGATTTCAACATAAACTGGACCCTGGGAAATCCAGAGCCAAAAAGCCACAGAGGAAACCACAGGAAACACCCTGTGCTCCACGACGAATCGTGTTTGTGCGGCGCCTCCACTTTTACCGCCGACACACCGCGACCACAGCTGCAATTAAAATGGAGGAAACATTGCTCGCTGCTGCTGCTCTAGCTGAACATTTGTTGCCCCGCTTCCCACTTGACTTCTGTCCATTGTTCCGGGCCCCGCCATTTCCATTGCTTTTCCGCGGCGACACGCGACTTGTTTGCACATTCAAATAGTTTCCCAGGAAGCAAGCCAAAGCCACTGCGTTTTCCCTTTTCCCATTTGAAGTGCAAACTGAATTTCTAAGACGACGACCTGCACGTCTTCAGTATGGATTTCCAATCATCAATTTCAATTGAATTGAAGTTGCGGCGCTGCCGGAAAACTTTTATAGTCCTGCAGTAAAGTGCAAATTTTTCTGGCAGATGCAATTTTCGTTTTCCCGAAAGATGCCATTTTCTACCGCCAACTTTTTTAATCAGCTTACTGCACCGAAAATATTGATATCGATAGATTTTGGGGCTGCTTTGCACGTGGAGTCCTAGTGTAGCTGTTGCATTTGGCAGACGTCAAAGCAATTTGTACAGCCTTTGACTTTGAGTATCCCACCCATTGCATTATGAACTTTCCGAGAGCGGAAATTTATGTTGTTTATTGCGCTCTGCTAGCGGCAGAAGCAGCTGGGGAAAAGTTCAATTGCTTGGAAAGAGCTCACGGGCGTGGAGAGGAAGTTTTTCCAGAAGATGGAAAAATCCGAAGCCGTTGCGAAACTAAAAAATATGTCTTTTTCAAGTGAAATGAAAAAGCTGTTTCAAATCTTTTGCCACAGCTTAATAAATTTATTTTTATATATTTTAATCATAACAGATACTTGCCAGATGTATACAGATTTATATAGAAGCTTATAATTAATTAAGGAAATAATTATAAATATTAATATATCATTTTCAGGGATGGAAACCTCTTTCTTATAATCCTTCTGATTGACCGTGCAGAGGGGCCTTACCCCAAAGCATGTTCCGAATACAAGCGTCAAATTATCGGAAGTCTGCTTCTTTCTTTCATTTCCGGATTGTTCAACGAGAAGGTATATAATCTTCCTATTGCCAACCACGAGAAACGATGAACAAGAAGCAGAAGAAGTCGAAGAAGGCCACTAAAGTGGCTGCCAACGCCAATGCTGCTGCCGCCAAGTTGCAGAAGTCGATCGGCGAGGAAGAAGAGGTAGCATGTGCCGAGTCCGATGGAGGTGCCAGCGGTAGCAAGCCCGAGATGGATCGCGCTTACCGTAAGAATCTGAATAAGCTAATAAACCTGGCCGATAAGCTGCCCAATAGCCTGGTGCTTCATCATTCGAGCGGAGAGGGCGATTCTAGCGGCTCTGGAAAGAGCACGAACGACGACGACGACGAGGCCCCGGAGCTCGTTAACCCCAACGCATCCAAAGGCTGTGATGACGGCCAGAGATACTCTCGTGGCGAAAAAAAGGCACGCCGCCTTTTGATGAAACTGGACCTCAAGCCCGTCGAGAACGTGTACCGGGTGACCATGAAGAAAAGCAAGAACATCTTGTTGTGCATAGACAAGCCGGATGTCTACAAGTCCCCAACCGGCACGTACATTTTCTTCGGCAAGGTCTATGTAGAGGACCTGACCAACACGGCCACCACTCAGGCCGCCGAGCGCTATCGGGAAGTGGAAGCCATCAAGGACAAGGGGGCAGACAATGTAGAAGCCCCCGATGCTGCTGGATCCGCTCCTGTGGACGACGACGACGACGGCTCCGATGGGGACGAGGCTGCCGCCAAGGATCTGGAGGAGAGAGATATCGAACTGGTGCAGATGCAGGCCTCCTGCTCCCGCAAGAGGGCCATAAAGGCTCTATTGCAGAACGGCCAAGATGTGGTCAACGCCATCATGGATCTCACCATGGGCTAACAACAACAATGTAAACTTTGCTTTCAATAAACGTATCCATAAGAAACCTTTTTATTTACAATTTCTGATTTATAATGATGCCCGATCTGGGAATGTCAAAGCTCATATCATGATTGAATGCATCCCTTTCTCAACTGCATTAGTTTGATTTCTTTTGTTATCCGGAAACGAGGACAAAGCTCAATTTAACCACCAGTACACTTCCGGTAAGCGGATATTTCCGACGCATTTTACAGCGTGTACATTTCCTATTCGGTTTTACTTTAATAGTCGTTTTGTGGGGTTTTTTATATGTAGGTTTATTTGGCTTTGATTGCGTTCATCACTCGGCCGAAGGAATGGAGCACATGACAGTGTCAGTGACAGGAAACGTTCCAGGATGTTTTACAAGCTAGACAACTTAAGGAAAACGGAGTATATATATCGTTTGTAAAATACGATTGATATAACCAGCTTATTTTATTTGTATTTATATTTCAGCGGGAGTTCCTGAGGAAAGGCAACGCATTTTCTGTTGGGGAGAGGAAACGCCCCATTGAAGCGTTTAGCTTTAAATATCCTGTTTATTTACACTCGTGCATCGCAGTACGTTTTTTGCCATTTTAGCTGCATATTGATAGAAACTTAATTATTCCTTTGACAGTTTTATCAACAAACACAGTTTACATATGTTCATGGGATGTGAACTCTATTTAAAGGTTGACCCATTTGATGTAGTGAAAGTTCAACACATATCTCATTGAAGCCTTCCCTGGGCTATTTCCTTTCTAGTTGCTCTTCAATCCAGCCGGCGGCATTGCCAATTTTCAGGTACTGTTGTCACTCTTTGCCATTTTCTTTTGTGGGGGAAATTTAATCGCTTCTTTTGTCCCGCTGACGCTGCACTTTTGTTTATTCTTCACTTAGTCTCAGCCGCGTGGTGGCACAGTGTCCCGTGTACTTCATCCTGTGCAGCTTTATGTGCTCGTCTTTCTTACCAAGTTTTTTTTGACAACGCCATGATTGCATTTTTAGCTTGCTGCTGAAGGAGACGACGACAGGTCTTCCTGCCGGTGGATGACAGGGATTCATAAGCCCTGTTCCGTGGGCATTCACTCAATTAAAATGGCCTGACATTTCCCTCGGCCAGGGCGCAGGCTGGGGGGAAAAAGCCAGCTAATAAATTGCCAGCTCCAACTGTGGGGTTTAATTTTATTTAATTTGCAGCTGTCGTCAGCAGCCGTAAAAAAGGCTTTAGTTTTGCATTGTGGGCGCTCAGCAGTCCGTGTGGCTGGGCACGTGCTAGCTTTTCGCCGTTCCCCATTCGCTTTCCCTTTTCGCACTTGGCCCGGAAAAAGTGGAAGTGGAAACTTTGTATGCCTGCCGCCTGGAAAATGCTCGCGCGTGTCGGGTTGAGTGGAAAGTTTTTGGGGATTGGTGGGACTTCTAGGAGCGCAGCTCCTTCCCCTAGAACTTTCGCCGGAAATTGATTAAGTTGGTTTGCCTCTTTAATCAGTGGAATTGAAGATGCTGCCGAAATACAAATCAGTCGACAGACGAGGACGACGGCCGACAGCTGTGCAATTCAAGCTCCTCCTATCGCAATGGTACTTTGAAGTACTTTCGGCCATCTTACCTCCTGTGTGTTGACCAGCAGCGCTCTTGTTATGGCCGGAATCCCGGAAAATCCGGCAACGAATTCGAAAGTTGTAAAATGCTTAATAGCCTCACTTAAGTCTAGGATCCAGCAACTACGAAAAGGAAGGACTTTCTCTTTAAAATGGCTTTTTGTGCTGCACGTGAAAATATTATCTCTTGATTCTAAGAGATTTGAATGAATGAATCCTTGTTGCTGGCATAAATATAATTTAAAAGCATCTTTGCAACTTAGTTTCTCGCCGTGCAGGATAACAGACTAGCCACAATCTGAATGCCACCTTCTGTGCCTTCTGGTTTTACAAGATTTTTTCTTAGGCATAAAATGCTGTTGGTATCCGGTTCTGCCCTTCGCTCTGATGAACTTTCCCTTTGGTTTTGCGGCCAACGTTTGGCCTACTGCCTGCCGCCTGAAAAGTTTTCCTTTTCGTGGTTTTTCATTCACTTTCAAGTTGATTTGGGTTTCACATTTCGTTGCGCATTTCTTGACCAAAATCTGCAAGATTTGTCTTTACCATTGTCCTTCCGCCTGTCAGCTCGTCCGTGTGCGTCTGAGCATGAGAACCAGTTCGGACTGGGGGCTTAGGACTGGGATTCCTGGGGTTACTCCGCACGCGAGCACGCTTCAGTGGCTCCCACTGGCACAGTTCATCACTTTGGAAGTCGGCAACGCGTTGTATATACTGCTGAGCTAATCATGACGCCGATGATGTGGCAGCGTGTGCCTGCCCCTTCCGCTGGCCCGCTCCCCAGCTGGCTTTTCCGTATCCATTTCCATCTGTCGGGTTAAATGTCGAATGCTGCTGTAGGGCTCTTGCCTTGGGCTTCTCCTCCATCTGGGGGGGGGCCCCCAGCTTTCGGCGGGGCTTGAAGTGTTGGCAATGGCTTTTTGCCATTTGATTTGACGCGTGTTTGCCCTGGCTTGGGTTCAAGGGGCTCCTCCTCGTACGGATCGGACCGGGCAGGTGTGTTTGCCTGCACTTTAGAGCTCTTTGGGACTCCTTGGGGTTCTATTATTGTGAATATCGAGCACCTGGGCCCGGCAGAGAAAGGCGTTTCCTGGCAGGTGATTTAAGGGCTCGACAGGCTCCAGTTTCCAGGCCTTTGTGTAATTGATGCCCCCGCACGAGCTAAAGGATAACAAATCGCTTTCATCCTGACTTGGCTTCCGCCCGCGCACAATGTGTACAATTCGCCATCCGCAAATACACAATTCATAATTCCTTTTTTGGCCAGCCCAGCGTGAGAAGGGATTTCCGCCGCCTCTTCAAAGGACCCTGCATCCTACATCCATCCCACTAACAATGGCAAAAGCAATTAGATAAACTTTCCAGCTGGATTCGGCAATTTAAAGTGGGCGTGGGGAATGGCGAGGGTGGTGCCAAGGACCTGGCTGGTTCCAGCTGAGAGTGGCAGGACAATTATGAAAGCGAAGGGCCTGGATAATTCAACAATTTGGTCGGGTTAGGGGAATCAGCGTGGAATTATTCAGCTAAGTGGTTTCAATTATGACTTACGGCCAAAACGAACAAAATGATTGTAACAGGGCTCGAGGACAAATGATTCGAGATTGCCATTCTGCCATCTTTCATTTCCCTTTTATTATTAATTATAGTTGTGCGAAGTTTTATTTGAAATTCCAATGTAATCCTCTAAGATACAACCTTTATGTTTCCACCCTAATAATTCTGTGAGTGCTCTGTACATATAACACATAAATTTCCAGCTTCACCTGATGAAATTAATCTTCTTACGACTATTTTATAACAAATGTGTATGTTTTTATTTAATTGCTGCTTGTATCTAAACAATTGCAAGTATTCTTTTGCGAGTCAGGTACATCAAATATTTTGTTTTACAAGCTTTATCGTCCTCTTTGCCATGTAAAGCAAATTACTTTTCCTTTGGCAAATTGTTTTTCATTTCAACCCGAAAACTTTTCGCATTCCACAGTCGCCTTGCGAACCTTTTTGGCTCCCCCATTACTGCATCACAGCAATTATAAGCTACCAAGGGAATTTTCATGGAATTTGGCCCTGGCAGAGTGCAGGAACCCTTCTGAAAACCTATTTGGTAAGAAGACTGCCAAAGCTGATTATGTTTCAGGGGAAACTTTGCTTTCTGCTTTCTGGGAACGTTACTGTATGCGGGAGAGAGTCTCGCAGCTCATGAGCACTTCCGTTGGATGGAATTTATGTGCACTATTTTATTCAGATGGCGCTTAATAAATGCAGCTGGTGAAAGCAGGACGAAGGCCATGGATAATGAACCAGCCAGCACACGGGGTACAAAATTTCCGGGGAAGTGATAATATTGTTAAAGTGCATGATTGGGGGTGCGGCAGGCAGGCAGGGAGTCAATTTGAGGAAAAACAAATTGCGCAGTTCTCGCACTCGGAGCTCTGTGAAATCCATATCGCTGCAGTTTCCGTTGCTATCAAATACACATTTTCCCCGGTCGTGTGCGTACGTATATCAACCCTTTCACAAGAAACTATATATTTAACGGGAAACTGATAATAGGCTTTTCCACTTTGATAAGTTATATATTTCCCAAATTAAGTGACTTTTTATGTAGCCTTTCTGACACCTGATATGGAAAATGGCCTTCCATTTCGTTGAACAATTTCATAATAATTTGCCAAAAATGCCAATGAATTGACAAGAATTGTCATGAAAATATATGGGGTTCATTTACATTTTATAATTGAAATCCTATTTCACTTTGTTTTTAAAATAAAACAATGAGAGGGGTCGCTTTAGTGTATACTGACTGCAATTCATAGTCTACTAGTACAGGCATCTCGGCTTTAGCGCGTCATGTTTGTCCATTAAGCCCGTATTCATAGATGCCAAGTACTAATTTTTATTTAGTTAGCCAAATTGGATTTTTGGATTATATCAATATCAATATAAAAGTAAATTCCATATGTGCCCTGTCATCGTAGTAATTGGAAATATTCGTTGGAAATATGCCCACGAAATGTAAATATAATTTTTGTAATGGAGCTTAAGTCATGGACTTAAAATGGATTGGGAAATATTTAATAATGGTAATAAAAGATTAAAATTTGGTGTGTCTTTTACAAGAATCGAAAGATTCGTTTTTTCTTACCAAATTTTAATTGAAAAAATAATTTTAAAAATGTATAACCAATGTTAAAGCTATGGTATGTCTGTTTTTATGGAGTAAAATTTAAGTACTAAAATAATTTAAATTGTTTTGAATCTAACAAGTTCATCTTATTAAACAAAAAGTTTGCTAAATAATTAAAAATTAAATTAAAATAAAAAACCTCTTAGTTGTAAAATCATTTAGTTATTGCTTGATAGTTCATCTTCATTTTCAAATAATATCTACTAAATAATATTTGTTTGCTCCAAAGTGATGTCATGACAAATATTAAGTATACGCAAATATTAAGTATACGCACATATTTAAATATAAGGTTAGACTTTTATAAAAAAGAGCTTTAAATGATTTTAAATTAAATATTTAAGGCTGCACTTTTCGTAATTAATAAAATAGAAAATTGTGCAATATTTAATGTAACTGCTTTTTGTAACTGCATTTAGCTAGAAAGGATTCACAATCCCATTGCTGGAAATCGAGCCCGCGACTCACCGCAAGAAGTGCCGACGGCTGGCATCGACGCTGGATGCCATATGTTAGGCTTACACGCTTATCGGGAACAGAACAGGAGGCCAGGACGGCTGGCGATGGCAGAAGGAGCTCTCCTCGGACGGGGGGCACTCGGTCTTCGGACGACGAAGTAGCTGGCTCAGAACACTGGCTGGGACTTCTTCCGCCTACTTGTTGTAGGCGGGCACTTTTCTTATTTAACCGCTCAACACTTGCCCAGCGTTCGCTGCGCTACGCTCCCCAGGTTGAACTGACGGCTGGGCGGACTCGCAGCTCCCGTCGAGCATCAGGTAGCGCACGGCAACAGCGCCCGAGCGCCGCCGAGTGACGACCGAGGAGCACCTCCAGTTGCCGCCGTTCCAGGCACTGGAACAAAAACGCCGACGCTGGCCTGGGGAAGTGGCGGAAAGCTCGATACGTCGAGCTTTTGCTGTTGCTTCGCCAGCTGCTACTCGACTCCTGCTTCTGCAGCTGCTCCTCCTCCTGTTGCGCTGACAGCGCTGCCAGCGACGTCGCCCACGCAAAGCTTTTCCGCGAACGAAAGAAGCTTTCCGCGAAGGCGGCTCCTACAAAACGAAGGGCCCGAGCTGGACTAGGGACAAAGGTTACGCAGCAGGAACGGGAGCAGAGGCACTCGCGAAGGTTCTGTCTCCCTTGCTCGTCCTCCTGCTGCGCTCGACAGCCAAAAATAGCAACAGCGCGAAAGCTCAACGTGATTCACCCATCCCTCCGTTCTGTACAGTGGAGGTTCCTTAACTCAAATTTCACCGAGTCATTATGATTTAGAAACTGCATTTCAAACCGAACACAAAGCTGGCAGCTAACAGTTGAATATTCCTTAACAATTTAAGAGAGCTTACAAGCAATTCCCCATTCTAAGTTTTAATAACTGCTAAGGCCCAGTTTCCAAAAATTGGTCTGGGTTATGAATATTGTAAGAAACTCATAACTTCATACTATTTCAATTACAAATACAAAAATCATGAGCTTCATATGATTACTTATGTTTATTGATAGGTTCTAAAGATTGTATAATTATTTATTTGTGTTAATTGCTTTTTTATATCAAAGGTAATAACCTTGGGAAGATATGAAAGTTCCTTTAACGTAAGCTTTAATGGCTTTGCCAGCTTATATGGTACGTTCTAGGGAGGACAGACTGTTGTTGCCCAAATTTGCTTTCATTTTCGTTTGGAGATGCTTTCCATTTTATGTGTGTGGGCTACTTTCCGTCTGTTTAACAAAGTGCCAAGTCAGTTCTGGAGCTTAGCTCACGACCAACCGCAACTGCCCCACCGAAAGTGTGTCGAAAATTTTATAACTTGATATCTGTGCTCGCATTTAGTGTGCTATTTATAGCGCGCGGTGGGTGTGTAGCCAGGGTTGCCACCATTGATTTTTCCCACTGTCTTTGCCCCGCCTCGCCCCTCGCTCTTTCCACTACATTTTCCAGCCATTTTCGGCTGTTGCCTGACGCAGCGCCTTTTATGAATGAACTTGGCTCACTTAAGCATTTGTTATATGTTACTCCTGCTCCACGAAAAATATATGGGACGTTGCACCCATCAAGGGTTCGAGGGGGTCGTGGGGGTAACCCTAATAAGCTCGTTTTCAATGTCACCAAAATGCTTGCGATCTCATTAAGTAAATGGATTGCCATTGTCGTAGACGACGTAGTCTGGGGTTTGTAATACAGACATTTGTCCATATGACGCCATTGTCGTCGTAGCCTCGCATCCCCGCCCTCTGATGTCATGGATGTGTTTGCCTTTGCAAGGATATCGTCTAACTGGGGCGATATGCTCCAGTGGCTCCCAGTATGGAATTATGATTAATATTTGTTCAGTTTAAAATTAATTGCATTCAGCTATTGCGCCGACAGCTGTTGCCAATCCATATCCACCCACTTCACCATACCCCGTCCCTACGACGTTCTATTCCTTTCATTAATAATCCCACAGACACAGAATGGATGAGGTCAGGTTATCGGGGGTTAACACGAACCTGGTTGGCACTGCACTGGCTTACCGTTGCCGTGAATGATTACACAAGACAAGGTCGAAGCAGCTAATTAAACGATGCTACGGTAATATATTTATATTACGTATACGTAAAAAGGTACAGCTAATCTGCGTTTTCTTTTGATCAGCCTCCCCGGGGCCCAGGTGGGGCTCATTTGCAATTAAAAGGGATATAAATAGATTCCTAAAGCTGATTAAGTTGCTCCATATACTCTCAAGTTATTATTCGCAATGAGCACAAAAGTTGATGAGGGTATAATTCTATTCAAGCCATTCAGTATTCATGGTTAAAAGGAATTTTAAAGCAAATTTAATGTAGGAATTTATGAATTTAAACATGTAGGAACCGCTTTAAAACCCAGCGAATGCTTGAATATTACCCTAATAGAGAAAACCATTATAAGACGGTTATTAATTTGTTTGTTAATTTGTTTAAAAGGATTTTAAATCCTCTTAAAGTCTGCTTACTTTTAAAAAAAATTCACGTCACAGTTAGTCCTTGAATAATTTTATGCTCCTTTTTTGGTTTTTCACTAAAACTCTTCTTAAATTTATATTTAATGTGTGCCCTTTGTGCAAACTTAGAATCCATGGATATTTAAACTTTTTAAAAGGTCTCAAATCAATTTTAATTTTAAATCCAGGCCCCAAGAACTCCCTCACTCTCCCTCTCTCTCTCTATTTGAAAATGAGTGTATGGCTAAATTTAATATTCTGGGCCAAGTTAAAGCAAATTTAATTCACTTTCTGCCGCCATCAATCTTTGTTATGCCAACAGAACGGAAACTTGTTTGCTTGTTTGCCCGGTCAGGCCCGTTCCAAAATATTTGTGCAATTGCCTAGACTTTGTTTTTACAGGCCATCAAAATATGATGTTATATTCATGCATGTTTAACTGTTACGGCTCCTGGGTCCTTCTGTCCTTCTGTTCGGGAACTGTGTTGGTTTAGTATTAAAACTAAAGTGGCGTCGTAAGTTCGGCTCTTAGAAAGCGGCATCTCGTCCGCATTTGTATCTCTGTGCTTTATGTGCGCTTGGCATTATGAATTTCTTTTTTATATGCCGACTTGTTTATGTTTACGCGAAAATATTTTCGTTTCATTTTTAGTACCGCCCCCCCTGAGCCACGCCTACAGCCCACCGCTTCCGGTTGTTTACGCAACTCTTAATCAAAGTGCGAGCCATTGTGCGACATTTATAGCCAAAGTCCGGCCCGGTCTAAATTTAACGCACTTGTGGCTATGTGGCCTCAGCCTCATCCTGTTTTGGAATTGGTCCGGCTCCTGTTCCTCTTACAGCCGCATATGCCCCGGGACAGTAATGTCAACAGCATTCAATCAGTCGCACCGAAGCCGACACAAAGCCCAAGCCCAGCAGGTCGTCATTGATGAATGAGTCCGTGGGCCCTGCGAGTCCCGTCCCTTACAAAGAATGACGACCATGGCAACCGCAGCTGACATCCATGCTCAAAACACAATCGCGTTGAGTCACATGTCCTGCAGCCTGAGAACAGGCCGGGCAGCGAACAACAAGTTGCCCTCGACAAGCGAAGTCGTAAAGGGATTGCACGGTCATAACGTGCCATAAACCTGCCTCTGCATCAAGGGTGCTAATCCCATATATGGGTTCTTATATGTGTTTCTGTCATTAATACGCTATCGGTGGTATTAATCCGCGTATGGGTCTCTATATCATTGGGTTTCTCTTTGGTATCGACCAACTATAATTGTTTATTACACAACAATCGACAACAATAATTCGAACAACAAAATATTCTAACGAAAGTATACATAAATTCATAATATTATATTAAATAATCAATAATTCCTGAACCAGAATTTTAATAAGCCTTACAGATTGATAACTCCAAATTTACCCTATTTATATTAGCTTTATCAATTCATTAAAAATGTACGATTCCTTGAGGGTATGTTATAAGTTATAAAAAATTGTAAAATATGTCTAACAACATGACCTGATATGACTAAATCTGCTAACTAGTTAAGGCGCCATAGTAAAAACGATCTACAATATTTCCACATACTATTTTAATGCAGTTTAACGACTGACTAATAAATACAACTAAATCGATTTAGTGTTCTGAAACACCCACGTCATAGTTTCCTATGTCTGCCAGAGGAATGCAGGGCTCATAACGATTGTCCCCCGATGAGAATGGCATTTAATTAAATATTTAGCATAGCCCTTGAAGGAGGTTTCGCAATTAAGGGGGAACACGCGCCATTAATTGCTGGCTTGCTTGCCGTTGCATTGCCTACTTTCGAGAGCGGCTCGGAGTGAGCGCCGCTCACACCTGTTGCCAAAAGGTCAAATCACTTAGCCAGCTCAGACTGGTTTAACAACAGGAAGCACAGGCCACACACACACACGGCTCACTAAATGTAGAAGGATGCATGGGGACTTACCTCAGTTTGACATTTATGGCGTGGCTCATGTATTTGTTTATTTCATATTCAGCGCAAACGAACGAAGACATGCAAATTGTTGTGGGATGTTTAAGGGTAATAAGTCTCTGCTGTCGTTTCCAGTTTACCGCCAGTCGCCCTCACTTATTGTTGCTGCTGTTGCCGTTCCTGTTGCTGTTGTTGTTCCCGTTGATTGTGGTCGCTCCTAAGCCGTAAAAATTTTGATTAATTTGCTATGTACAAAGTATATGCCAGGGTATATAGCCCCGTTAGCGTCGCTGGCAGCACTTCTTTTTGACGCAAACAACGTCAGCGACTGACGACAGCAGCCTGAAGCCAAAGGCGAAACCGAAACCGAAAGCCAGAACCCGCTTTGCCTCGAAGACGTTAAAATGAGAGTTGGCCAAGAGCGGGAGCCATTTAGAGAGAGAGCGAGTGACAGAGAGCTTCCAAGAGCACCGGCTACGTGCGAGTGTGTAGGTGCTGATGTCCCAGTGTGTGGGTGTATTTGCAGGTGTTCGCAGGCGCACCGATGACGTCCGATTATTTGTGCCCAAATGGCGTCTAATTGCCGCCTCGCTGTTGATATTGCCTGGCCTGGCGGCCCACATGTTTTAATTTTTCTACAGAAAAAATTATGAACATTTAACCCACGCCTATGAGAAAGGCCAGAGCGAAACAAATTAACTACGCAATAACTAGGGACAGAGAAAGGCCAGGACCCTCTCTGGGCCCCGGAAGATGCCTTGTTTTTAGTTTCGTAGGCCTTGTTTTCACTCTTGTGTTAATTGTGGGCGCGTGCACAAAACATGAAAAACAGAAATAGCCAAGAGAGCAGCTAGGTGAGGTTGGGAAGTGGGTGGAAAAGTTGGGCAAAAGTCAGGGGGAAACGGGGCAAAAACAGAGCAGCGACATTACCAGCATATGGCTGGCTGACATTTTGCGTAGCATACTTCTAGGCTGTCTTGTCACTTGAGCTAACTGCTTTTGTTTCTCGCACAATACGTAGACACACTCGCACACCCGCACACCCGACACCCGCACACTCGCACACACACTTGATGAAGTTCAGTGTCAAATTTTCATTTCGCTTTCAGCTTCAGTCACGTAAATAAAACACACACGCCAGTGCCCGAGCTTTTCGTCGCCATATTTGTTGCGATAAATATGTTATTTAATTGAATAACAATTACTAATGGCCTACGTATGCCTTACTTTTGGATTTTGATTGTGTTTCTATGTGTTTTTTTGTGTTTCGTTGGTGCCAAAATGGATACCCAAATCCCTGCTGCTGCTACTGCTCTTTTGTGGCTTTTCGCGTTGACCGTCAGCCGAAGGACTGCCTGTCCTACTGAGGCGTTCCTCGCCGTTCATCGGCAGCTTTGCCTCGCGGTCGGCTCTTACACAGACACAGACACTCGCATATGTATAGCCGCCGTCGAGTCGCACACAACAAAAGAGGCAGCCGAAATTCCTACGCATTTCGCTTACGGCCCACGGATGTGTATGTGTGTGTGTTTGGGTTTGTGTTTGTGTGTGTGAGGGTGTAGGTTAGGCACACGCACTATTAACATAAAGCTCCAGAAAGCTCTCTCGACCATGCTTTCGCCCGTCTACAGAAGAGGTCGAAATTGGAGCCCTAAAAAACAAGAGATGATATCTAAAAAATTAATGATACATTTTAATTTGATTATTAAACTACATTTTACAATAAATTGTTCACCTAAAATGTTTAATTTCATAGTTTTAAAAAGCTTTTAATAGCGATTTCTGTTACAAAACTTCAAAAAAAGTTTAAAAGAATTTTGCTGAAATTATTCCTTATATTAAAATTATACTTATTTAATTCTTATTCATTTTTTGGTTGATATCTTAAATTTTAATAGATCCAGATATTATTAAACATGAGTTAGCAATGAGTAAAGGGTGATAATAAATAAAATAAAAAAGTAATTCAGATTTTATTTTGAATATAATAATTATTCATTATGATCCAAAATTCAAGTGTCAATAAAACATTAAATAAGAATATATTAGAACAAATTTTAATATTTATTAAAATATCTAATACTATTAGAAGTACTATTATCTTGAGTGCTACTGTACCTAGAACGTCCTAGTTGGCACTTTACATCTTAAACCGTCAGAGATATCAGTCACTGCTACCCGGCGTGATAGAATATTGACAATCCGAGGTAAGAGCTCTTCTACCAACTCTATTTTACAGGGTATTTCGACGAGAAACTAAGCAAAAAAAAAATATATAGCCCAGAGTCTAAGCTAATCCCTCCCGAAAGCTGCCCGCGAGCAACAACAATAAGAAGTCGAGGAGTCCCTATCGCCCACTCCTTTCGCCATTTGACGTAGGTTGACAGCTGTTTACGCTGGCCAAACTTTATGGCTATTGATTTTGCTCCAAATACCGAACCTGGACGCAACAGTTTGAAAGTCGCAGCTTTCACTTTCGTGGCCAGAACCGAAGAATGACTCCTCCACCCGCCGCAGCTTCAGTGTTATGAGTTGCGTGGCCCAACTGCGCCTGTCCGTTGCCTCTGTGTTAGTGTGTCAGAGCGGCGCCTGCGCCGTATTCTCGTACGGGAAAAGCGGAAAAGCTGCTCCGCAACAGCCTGTTGCCGACGTTGGCGGCACTGCTCCGCCCCGAGTGTACTCTTCCAGGTGGCGGCGATGCCGATGCACTGGAAGAGGACCTTTCAGAGCCCACTCTCTTTCGCGAGACCTAGGCAATGACCGTGCACATGCCTAGGCGTCGCAGTTGGCTAAGCGAATTAATTTGATCACCCGTCCTCACAGGCGAGCTGCATGCTAATGCCGCTTTAATGAGTTCATTTTTTGCCCGAGAGCTGGGATTACGCAGTGTCACAGGCGGAAGGCTAAGCACACACTCACTAAACGTTGAGCTTTGCACATTGACTTTGCGGCAGAAGGAGGAGGAGAAGGGGTTGCGGCTAGTGCCTAGTGTTTGCAACAGGTTGCCAATGGCATCCGGCGCTCTGAAAAATACTCCCAGAGTGCGGCCATTATTATTCAGGGGACGGGAAGCCATTTTGTATGGCAAGCAGGAATGTAGGCAATGAAAAAGTGCAGCAATAACGCGCAGCATACTTTGCGGCTTTCGAGTTTTATGAATGGATTCGTTCAAGTTATGTAAATTGCAATTATTAAAGCTTTAAAATTATAAAACAAGTGATAATAATAAATTTTAATATATTTATTTTAGATGTAATACAAAATTCATGTACCATTTAAAAGTAAATAAAATAATACAATAGAAAATCATACGAAATCTCCAGCAGAAAACTTTAAAAACATACATTTATTTATCGCAAATGATAATTTAAATTTAGTAATTTAAAAATGGTAAAAAAACATAAATATTATTCAAGATTAATTTTTTAAAATAGGAACTAAATCTAAAACGTAGTTATATCGTAGTTATTATGCCCAGAAATGCAAATAATATAGATATAATGGTAATGGATTGATATTTCAGCCGATATTCTGTTTTTTCTACATATATCGGGAAAATAAAATTTGGAAATCTGAACAATTTAGTTATATTTTTCATAACTGTTTGGATTTATTAACTTTAAATGTGATATATATGAGACTGAACGATATTTACGGTATGGTATTAACCACATTTCCAACCAGAAGCACCTTACTACCTCTTCAATAAACAAAAACACATCATTAACTTGTACATTTCATGTAAATCTTTATTTATTCAATTTCTTGAGTGTGTAAATTTTGTTGGTATTCATAGTTAATATTCGGTAATATAGTTGCAGGCCTTTTCTTTTCAATTTGATAGCGAGTATCTAACTATAATAGGTTGAGGCAAAGTTGCATTCAAAATTTCCATACATAAGTAGTTGTCAGTTTGAGTTTAGAATATGTACTCGTGTCACTGTGTGTTGCAACAGTTTTCAAGTCAATTTCATAAGATAAACACAATTTGGATTTGGATTTGGATTATGCCACAGATATATACTTGTTGTTAAGGTATGAAAATGAACAAACAAAAGTCGAGGAGTTTTCAATATCTGTTTTTTGATTCTTTATTTTTTTTTTGTTTATTAACTATAAATTTTCGTTTTCTTATTTTACGCTCGCTGTAAATACAATTTCTAGTCCGATTTCGAGCTTAGCATGAGTTAGCCTTTTGCTTGTGTGCTTAGTGTGTGTGATGCAATGTGGGATGTGTATGAGTGTGCGGCCAAATCAGAGAGTTATCAAAATAGCCTACTTAAAATTTGGTTAAACGCTAATTTACACAAGATACAAGCTAGGTAATTATAATTAGGCTTAAAAAAAACAGACATTAGCACTGTAGCTTATCCACTAGGGGGTGATGTGTGTTGGTTAGAGTTTCTGTAATTGTAATGTGTAGTTGTGACGGATTTGAGTTTGAGTGAGGACCTCCTGTCATCATCATCATCATCATCATCGTCAACATCATCGGTAAGGCAAGTTTAACAGACGGCAAAATGGTAACAACAAATGTATGTTCGGCTTAGTGACGGTTGTTGCTCAACGCTCTCTCAAGTTTATCTATTTACAATAATTTCGTATGATTCGTAATGCTTAGATTTTGGTTTACAATTCAAGTCTAAGTCGAAGGCACTGATTCTCTACGCTCTCAAGTCAATACAAATATCTGTGGCTGGCTGCAAGTGGGTCTATGTGAGTGTGGAGGAGGGGCGAGGTGTGACGAGTTCGCAACAACAACTGTCACCGATGCGTTTGAGTCTAGGTGTGTTTGTGTGTGTGCACATAAAAATAATAATACATCATAATTACTAAAATGTAATTGAAATACGATTGGTTTTACATTTAGTTATTCGTTGCGCTATATTTATTTATTAATTTGTTTATTCACTAGTACATATAAAATGTGCATGAGTGTGTGTGGGGGTGTATATTTTGGGTATTTCTTCAATCTCTTGCTTTGAATTTTAGTTGCTTCTCCTTCTGACTTCTCACTATTTCTTCGATTTTATTGTTGCTTGCGGGTGATTTTTAATTTATTTGCTTATTGTTCGCTTATGTCGTAACTATGAATATGAGATGAGTTTGAAAGCAGATTTTGCAAATGAGTTTTCTATATATTTATTCGCTTGCGCTAGTGTGTGTACAATGGTTGTGTATGTGTGTGTGTGTATGGATGTGCTTGGTTTGGTTCAATAATTTAATATAATTTAAATATGCTTCGTATTTAGAGTGTATGTGTTCGGCGCCAGTTTAAACAATAATTTACGTTAGGCCTTTGCTTACTTATTGGATACTAGATAAAGCATTCGATATAACATAAACTTGCATAGATATAGATAGTTGGATAGGATAGTTGTTGGAGATGGATAGCCGACCTAAGCCTAATAGCAGAGAAGATACAATTATTCCTCGCTCGCCGCGCCAGTTGCAATTTAATTTATACATCGAAAGGGGGCGCTCTCTTAGACTAACATTGAATTAGCATAGCTTATAGCAAATCATAATACGATATATATGCATATATTTATTAATAGTAATCCGTGTTTGTATCCAACACAATAATTATGCATCTAAACGCACAAAAAACAATTTTGGACAAAAAAATAAATGGAAATAATAACATGAAGAAGGTATAGTGGGAAAAAGAGATTTGAGTTTTACAAAAACTAAGAATCTACTCGTACAATATATATCGTAATCGGTACACAGTATATTTATATATATATATATAAACGATATCGTTAGTGTGTAGCGTATGTATGGTAATAATTATCATTATAACATAGAGTTCAGTTTGTGAGAGCATCTGCCAGTGTCTCTCTCGCTCTCGCTGCCAAGTTTATTACGGATCTCTTCAGTAGCTTTCTCTCGAATTTTACTTTTTTTGTGGCTAACAGTAAACGTTGTCGTGCTGGGGATCCTTCGATCGTTCGTTGTGGATATAAAGCCTATGGCGTCTTCAGCAGGAGAATGTCTTTCTTGCGCGTGCGACTGGCACTGGCATTGAGCCGTTGATAAAAGTAGTTTCTGCCGATCTTTCGCTGCAGCTTGTAGGACTTGCCCGCTAGAAACCGGGTGATGTCCAGCACGTAGTCGTGCACGTCCTCGTGGTCCTCGAGCAAATGTATCGATATCACATCGATTTTAACTTTGTCGAAGGGCAGCGTCTGCAAGATCTGCAAGCAAAAAACATAAAATCGTTTAGCGAAAGTGTAACGAGAGTTCAGGCGGCCACTCACCTCCAGCTCATGCCCCTGCACACCCAGACTGAGCAGATCGTATTCGGTGCGCTCACATGCCAGCATGATAGTGTAGAGCGGAAAGCATTTCACACGCGTGTTGAACCACGAGGTCTCCTCGTCGTGCAGACTATTAATGCGCACATCCTCGTTGTGTATGGTAATCTGTGAATGAAATAGCAGACGAATTAGTCTCTGATTTACAAGGTAAACTTGAAACTATATATCATTTTTAAACTATTATATAATATGTATACAAAAATAATAATAATAAACATCTCCAATGCATATTAGTACTTACCTCTTTGGGATACGTGTTGGGTGAGACGCAGGCGTGCACCACCTGCATGCGCGCTCGCTGGGCGTTCTGCTTGCGCAACGTAAAGTACCAGCGTGGCTCCGGCTCCACCAGCACGCCCATCCAATCGAGGTGCTCACTCAGCCAAGGCGCCGTGATCAGGTGGGCCAGCGGACCGCTCAGCGACTGGATCACCGCACCGTTCATCTTGCCGCCGACCAGATCAGCTACATAGTGGGCCAGTTGATCGGCTCCGCTCCCGCTACTGTTGCCGGCAGCCGTCTTGGGGGAGTTGGATAGCGGCGGCGGCCCCACACCCACCGCTGCCGCTGCCGCGGCAACCTTGGGCGAAGCCTTGCCCAGGTACTTGCCCATATGGATCTGGCGCAGGAATTTAATGAGGTCGGGATCGTCTTGCGCAACCCCATTCAGCTCGTAGTCGCGCGACATATTCAGCCGAAACTGTTGATGGCGGATCTCTGGAAAGGAGAAAAATCGAAAGATGAATTAGTTGGGAGTTGGTGTGGTGGCGGTAATTGGATTTAATTAAAAGTTGTTGCACCACTGGATGCATGGCGTGTATGGCTCCAACTACGCCACGCTCCGTTGCCAATTGGAGCGCATTGACCACATTTGCATTGGCAATCAGATGTGCTTTAAATGGAGGAAACTTCTGGGCAGTGGATCTAGGGTTTTTTGCAATTCTTTAAAATTTTGCGTTATATATATTCTTAGAAGTCTTAATTAGAGTAATATAAAACGATCTTTTATAAATTTGTAATATTTTTTAATAACTAATTGGGTGCAAAAGATATAATAATCAATTTGACTTTAATTTATCCTTCAACCGGAATAGGAAAAACAGGTAAGGTCGAGGCCATAAAGTATTTAGCCAAATTTTAGGCAAAATGCCATGACAGTTTGGCATAAATTGTTGCAGGTGAAAGTGGAAATGGGAAAAGGAAAGTAAAAAAAGAAGGAACAGGAGACCCCGTAGAAGGTCGAGCGCTGGAAACAGCCACTTGGCAGCAGTGGCGGCGACGACCTCGCCATGAAAGCGGCTCGACTCGGAATCGGATTGGACTTCGGCTCTTGGCCGCTCTGTGCCGGCCCATAAAATATAATGAGCGCACGGCCTTTGATATTTAGCACATGACCCCATCATACGAGTATCCTCCTCCTCCTCCCTCCGAAGCCCCATCATTTAGCCCGATTTCCCCTCGGGCACCGGCACCGTCACCACTTGACTCATGGCAAAGTCGACCCGGCCCAACCTGTCCATAAACCTTAGCAACAAAAAGCCAACGATTGGCCGTAGTTTTGTTTTTAGTCGCCACATTTCAGACACACTGTGTTTTATTTGCTTTTCACACTTTCCTTGTGCCAATTTCCACTTTTTGTTTCGTTTTAACTGGCCTCCGGCGAAACAAATCGTAAAAGCCCAAAGAAATTAATATATATATTATCAAATGTACTTGTGGCAGCTCAAGACTAAAGGAATGGCTTAGGCAAATGCCAAGGTTTGATAATAAATATCCTATACGTGGGTTTTCGGAAGTTCTGAGAGGTTAAAGGTTAAAGTTTGTGCAATAAAGGATTTAAAAAGCTAAAATATAATTTTATAAGTTAACTAGAAAATCAGACCGTTCTTCTTTAAAATATTATTACATTCCATTTTGCATTTCACAAAGTTTTAGAGAGTCCAAAAAAATTTAATTTATGAGCCAAAATGAGTAGATAAATAAGAAAAGGTGGCGTGGGCTAAAAGCGTGGCATCCATCCAGTCAAATCGATCTTCTGTTTCGGCTACTTATACGTCATTATTCCTACCTCTCTGGTTTGTTTAACGAATTCACATCGTTATGGCTGCCTCACCCAAAACCAAATCGTAAGAATATACATATACAAGTATATTTTCTTTTATTTTTATTACTTTTCTGTGTCCATTCAACGCAAATGTGCCATGCAAATTTTGAGGCGAAAAAGCCAGCTAAAACTTTTATGTTTTGGTCACAAAATGGCCATAAAGTTTATTATAATGCATATACAGCAACCAACTGATGGACAGAAAGCCATGGCAAAAACAGTTGTCGGTCATTATAGACAACAACTATAATATAGCTGAACGGAGACATTTTTCTGTAATTTCCCAGCCGGTGGTTAGTGGCCAAGTGAAAACTTGCACTAATTAACGCCCAAGCGTTTCCCAAGCGTCTTCCAATTTGGAAGAGTAGGGAAAGTGCCGAGTTCGGCTTGAAAATTTTATGCGACCATTAGTTGTGGAAATCTGATAGCGACGGGATTGATGTTTGGGTCTCGCATTACATAGCCCGATTAGAAGTTAAATGAATTACTTTATCATTTGTCTACCAGCATACAAAATCTAAGCTCGAAATGGAACCCTCTGCGAATGGATCCATGCCATAATGATCGTGTGCCTCCGACAGCTGTGCAATAAAACTGCTTAAACCGTTAAATGCGAACACATGTAAATCCGATAAATAAACCGAAAATGAAAATAAAAGCGAAAGAAAAGAATGCTTGGGTCTTTGGTAGAGGAAAAAAAAATCTGCCCTCGGGCGCAGCAATTTCGGTGTCAAAAGCTGACATTTCTAATTTGCACAAGGGGTCGTACGTCGTCCGTCGTCCGCCGTCCTTTCGTTCATTTTCGGGGTGGGCAAGACAAATGACAGGGCAGGCGCTCAAGGCTCTGTGCTCTGGCTGGAGCCTGAAAATTATATTCAATGGCGGCGGACATTACCCGAAAAAGGAACGTTTAATTGCGGTTAAGCGGCGGCAAACTTTAAGTCGTTTTGGTAACTCGTCCAACGTCCTGAGGCGGCCGCTTATTCAGATTACTCAGGGATAGCACAAGTCCAACTCGCCCTGAACAGTGCACAACGACGCCCTATTCAATAATTCAACAAAGGCGGGCCCAGGCAGGCCAACATATAAAGAGTCCAAGGAGAGAGTGGGGAAAGAAAAGTAGAACCGCATAACTTTTATGCATTTTCAATTATTTGTAAATGTTGTAAAACATGAAGAAATTTTTAACCTATTTTAGTCGTAAATGGGTTAAGTATTTTTGCTAAACCGCAGCATAAATAATCAAAATTTGGTAAAATTTTAAGATAAATTTTAGTATATATAATACCAATTCAGAGACATTAAAATATTCACATTTGTAAAATACAATTTTAAATTAATTTCTTAGGAATTTTTGATTTAATTGTCGTTTAAAAATTCTCTAATCTTTTACTTTAAGTGTAGGCATATAGAAATACCAAAAAAACTTTATCGTTGCCGTTTGTTTGCTTTTGTTTTGTTTTATATTTTTGAGGGCACTGCGACGTTGCTGTCGTCGTCGTCGTCGGGCAATGTTACCCTTGTTGTGTAATATCGGGATCTGGAGTTGCGTGTTCACCCGGGGGTTTCCTCGCCTAGTTCAGTTATTGATTTGTGCAACGATTCCGTTCGGTTCGAATAGGATTTGCTTGTAATTGCCTGTTTGTCGCTATTCAAAATGGCCTGTTTCCATGCTGATAACGATGAATGTTCTTACACTTTATTGGTAATACTATGCCAGGTCTTGCATGTGCCAACAGAATAAGCCACAAAGGCTCTGATTTATTTCGCAAATGAGTGCGGATGTGCGGGTGTGAGTGTGAGTGAGTGGGCCTAATCTAAGTGGGTCGGATCTTAATCACCTGCCTGCCTGCTTGCAAAGCCCATTTAACTGCTGCGAAATGCAAAAGGCCAATACAGGGCAAACTTTTGCATCACGTGATCAGGTGTGAAATGCATTCGTGGGGGAGGAGAAATTGGGCCACGTGGAGAAATAGAATAGAGAATAATAAAACACACAAAATAAGGGAAAAACTACTTGCTAACAACGGACTTTAACATTCGCTAAATATACGCTCGTATTGAGTGAAAGATAAAATATTTATTTACCTTTTTTTTAAAAGAAAACTATTGAAGTGAATTAGAAAACCTGAAAACTTATGATAGCTTGTACGAAAGTATTTCATTTAATTTGCTGTCTTCCTGGTATATTGATCACATAACTGCTTTATATTTTATTTAGTGACTACTTTCAGAAACCTTTCAAAACAGATAAATCATAACTCCCATACGAATTAGTACAACAGAAATATAAAAAAAGGTGTTGACCATAAATTTAGCCACTCGAGCTCGCAGAAGTGCCTCAATTACATAGCAAGATTAATGGCATCTGAGCACTCAACATAATATAATATGATATATGACCCCTTCGGCAGTGTGGCAAGAAACCTTTAGCATAATAAATGACCCTGTTTTAATGTGTTAAACGCTCCTCGACCATTTATCAACCCTGATTGAAATATCTCTCAGCAAAACCCAGATAAAGCAGACGAAACGACTTAAGGGGCAGTTGTTGTATTTCGTACAAGTATTAACCTTATCGCCGGGCAATTTTTCCAAAGGAGAACACACACGACGCCATAAGAAACGGCGCAATTGCAATTGGCAGAAGGAGGGTTGCAAAAGCAAAACCCTAAACCTACATGCGGGTGGTGAGCAAAAGGAAAACCACAAGGAAAGTGAGCCCAAGAAGTGGTATACAGTCATGGCGCATGCTGTGATAATGCCATTTGAGCTTTGCTTTTCAAATTGAGCACTCGCTGCGCTTTTGACGTGCTGATCATCTCCGACGGAGCCACGAGCGCAGCCATCAAGCCACCACTTGCACCACACCGACCATGACACGCAGTCCAGACGACGACGACGACAACGATGTCGCTGCGGGGGTGGATTTTCTCCACTAATATTCCACCGATTCCACTGGGGGCCGCCATGCAACAATGTTGGCAACTGCTGCACACGAAAATTATGAATCACAAGGCAAACTAAGCGGCGGGGGCGGATTTGTGGGAGGAGAAGGAGGAGGGCCCTGAATGACATCCGGTGGCTGTCAGGGGAGGTTATCACTGCACATGGAGAAAACTACCAGGAATGGTTGAAAGAAAAATAATGGGTAACCACGATGCATAATAAATGTGTTTACCAAAACGAATTAAGAATTTAATATAAAATTTCCAAAATATATATATAAAAGAAATTCTTGTCTGATGTTAAAAACTCTTAAAATTTATCGAATTTCAATTTCAGTTTTTGTTTATGTGCAACATTAGCAGCGGAGTAATTCAAAGTAGTTAAAACCGCTTAGAATCCGCCAGACGAAAGCGGGGCTTGGTTTCCCGCTGCAAAACCTCCCTGTAAGCTCGCTGCGTGCTTAACGGGAATTAAGTCATTAGTGGTAGTGTTTGCATGAGCGACCCAGTGTTTGTGTGTCCATGTCTGTGCGCAATGCAGTTCAAGTTGTAAATTTCAATTAAAGTTGCAATTTGCAAATTGTCACCAATGGGGAGCAGACGACAGTGACGACGACATCGTGTAATCACCGCAAGTGTGAAGATAATGCCGTCTTAACATGATTAATGCTTTGACCTTTGGGGGCGTGTTCAATACGGAATGCAATCAAGGTGATTAAGCAGAGACAGAGAAAAGTAAAGAATTGAATTAAAATTAAATTAAATAAAAATATAGAACTTAGTTACGAATAAGATAAGGTGTCTTGAATGAGTATAATTTTTGTTAAATAGCTAAACTTTATTCGAAAAGCGCACTGATTTCCAATTCTGTGCAAAGTTTAAAGATATAAAAAGTATTTTTTCTGTAGTATCAACTAATTCCACAATTGGGCTAATACGATTTTGGGAATACTATCAAAAGTAAGGCTAATGACACTGCAACTGCACCCTTTCATAACAACAATAACAAGCAAAGTGCGGCAACGTTGTCCCAAAAAGGCGTGGCATGGCGTGCAAGGATGGCAACAGTAGTTACCAGTTACCACTTACCAGCCACCAGTTAGGCAGTAAAGAATGAACAGAAAACAGTGAAAGCCAGATAATCGATGGCTAAGTAATCACAGGGCGTCGATAAGTAGGCTATGTTTGGATTATGACACAAAATGTCGCAAGGAAAGGGCGGATCAATCAGAATTGGGTGACTGCTAATGAAAGGGTAAAGTTATTGAGGTTAGACACGTGTCATGGCATGCGATGAGGCGAAATTTATGGAATCTGCTTAACCACTTGCTACTATTCTATTATTAGAACCCGTTTTCAAAGTTATGACTTTTTAAACAAATTTGGCAAAGTAGCTAAAAACCGTAAAACTTTGAAATGGCTAATCTTGGTAGTAAAATCAAAGTTCAATAAACTCGCCGTATCAATAGCGTTTAAAAATGGTTTGAAAAAACCAGAAAGAAAGAAAGGAAAATTTGTATTGATTAATTGTTACACAAAGCAACCAGCAATTAAACATTTAACCCCATTAAGGAAACTAGTTTGCAAAGTCTAAAACCTCAATAATTAAAAAGAGTAAAGTATAAGTTCTAGTTCTTGAGTTAATGTAAATGTATATAATTAAGGCATAATTTTTTAATATTATAATTTTGTTTGTACCCCCATAATTATTTTGATGTTGTGCTTTTTCTAGTTTCATCGTATTTTACCCCATCCTGTTCAATTTGAAAGGATTATAACATTCCGAAAAACTCCTCATCTGCAATTACTTAAAACTCTGGTTTACAAAATGCCGCCAAACTTCAAATGCAATTTCCTATCCCCGGAGAATATGGCTCAGAAGTGCCTCGGTCATTGCAACAATCAAGTCTGGAACGTGACTCTTACAACAAACCCAGGGATTTGATTGTGGGGGACCATCATCGCCGCCACTATTATCATTATCATCATCGTCATGAGAAATGAAAGAAAAGAGTATAAAGAAATGGAAAACGAAATGCAGCATCGGCGTCGGCCTCGCCAGAATTTGTAACAAGAACCGCGTAGGCCAGCAGAAAATAAGTGTGAGACTTGGAGTTTGGTATTTGGAATCTTGAGAGTCATGGCCAGAAGTTTATCAGGTCGGGAGGAAATGAGTCCGAGGTAGCCGACACACATTCCAAAATTTGTCATTTTAATAAGCGCATTTCGGTTCCCTTTGGTTCTGTCAAGTGCATGATTTGAAGAAATTTCGGCTGCCACAAAGCTTCGACTGCCCTGAACCTGAAACACCACCTCAACCATCTACCTTTGTGCCCCCGAAACGGAACGTGTTCAATTTATATGCCGTGCCTTTGTTTGTGGAATAAGAAGAAGGAATGCCTAATTTATGATTATTTTTGTTTATGAATCCGTTCGCTCGTATAAACCTAATAGAGCCATCAATGGGCCATAAAAATGGGTCTGTCCGGCAACTGACACGCCCAACTGGCCAATGACAGCTGGCAACTGCCAACTCCAGTGGCAGCTCCAACTGGGAGATATCCGAATCGTACCTTCTTAAAGTTCGAATCCCATTCGAATCGAATCAAAAAGAGTCCCAGCCCCGTCTAGGCGACGTGGCGACGAAAAACAAAAGAGTCGGATATTACAGTCAATAAGAGGTTGATATATAACCCCTTCGGGCACTCAACTGAGCACATGAAATGACAAATTTATAGCCAGAAATCAGCGGCAATCATCATTTCGATTTTAAACCATTTTTATGGCAATAAACCTCAACAAGAAAAAAAATCAATAAAGTCGGAGTCAAGCGGCGAAGTTAATTACAATTTTCTGTGAATTGTGGATACTAATTTGTTACTAGAGTTAAAAGAAAATGATTTCCAGGCAATTTTGTGAAATATCTATGCTAAATTTCAATAGAATTTGTTATTTCAATATAAGATATGCTAGTCAAGAACTGCTCACTTGCACCCAATCAGCTGTCGAATGACACTGTTAAATTTCCATTCCCTGAACAATTTGCATAAAAACACGAAACGAGGATAGGAAGAGAAGTTGGCGCTACGGAAGAAGTCTTCGGGCAAAAGGAAGCGACTCTGGGGAAAAAAGGACAAGCAAAAAGGCAACGTCAAAGCGAAAATTGCCAACACCCGAGTGGAATTTTAAAATGTTTCTCTAGAAGAAGTGGATGTGGAATTTTTACAGCTGCAACAACAATGGGCTGACATTGATTTTTTTCGGGTCTGGCCTGGTCTGTGTGTTTACTCTTAGTACGTCTCTTGGCCCTTAGTCACTCTCCGGGCTCCGATGTCTGAGTCACCCAATAATACACCGACGGCGACGGCGCCACCGCTGCGATCCGTCAACGAGCTCACATCATATGCAAAACAATTTCGCTTGTAAGATACTTTCCGCTTTCATTGAGCCCCACAACAGCAACAAAAAGCAGAAGGCAATACAAATTAAGCAAATTTATCTGTACTTTCTGTACTAGAAAAGCGACGAGATCGTTCGTACAGACCGGGCATCCTCCATTCGGCAGTGGGATGTAATAACTTGGTCTCGGCGACATTGTCGCTCTGTGCAATAAACAAAATATTTTAGCGAATTAAAAGAAATTGCCTCATCCGACAGCAAATAATGGGGATAGATGGCCAAGCTAACTAAGCTACATAGTTGATCTGATCAAATCCGAGTGAGTCATCTGCGGGATCTAGCTAGTTCAAGGGAAGGCTGTGTATTTACAGATAGTCTATGATTCTTGCCAGATATTCCAGTAGAATAGACTCCTGTCTTATCATTAACCTTGTAAAAATCGCTTTAGATAGCTTGCGAATTATTTGCAAATAGCTTTTGTTATCGGACAGCCAAGACGCCACAGTAAACAAAAAGCTTAAAGGTGTTAAGGTATCTTTCAACAACAAAGATATAACAAAATATCTAGTAAATATTTATTTCTTTTAAATCCCTTAGATAATTTATGCCCAAGCCTGTTAAAAACTGCTTAGCTTTTCATAGGTTTTCTTGGAATAATTTTCACCAAAAAGATTTATAAACTGCATAAAAATTCTCCCAAGGTTTCCCAATAGTTTTTAGTTACCTACAAACACCTACTATTTTCTGCCTAACTAGTTGTAATGGCTTCTCAAATGATGGTAACGATGGCTCTTACAAACGGCAATTATATATTCTCGGGACGTTTGAGGCGGCTGTCTTTGAGTTGGAGGCTCGGGAATGGGGCAGCACGTGTCCGGTGGCAACGTTTTGGGGCAATGACAAAGGCAACGGCAGTGGCAACACAAACACAACAGCGGCGACAGCTGCGATATTGCCTGTTGCCAAGTGCTGCTGCTTCTGCTGTTGCTATATCTGCTGCCGCTGACAGGAAGCGCCACTGCGCCAGACAACAACGCTGCACACACGCCCACGCCAAAAAGATATTGGCAAAAAAATAATTCCTCCACAAAGCACACTCATATTTAAGAGATGAGGGAAAACGAAACCAACGATCTATGACAAAAGATGCGCTGGAGACAGACGGGAGAGACCTCGGACTGGCCAGTTTAGATGACGCGTAAACTAATCTCAAAAGTGTGCCCATTACCGGGAAGGGACCTAAGACCTAAGGACAAAAAGGAAGGCAAACACAGCCTACATCCGGTGGAAGAAGCCTCCGCTCAAAAAATTGTATTTGAGAACCCAGAACAGAAAAAAACAGATGAGACATATGCCAAACATATCAAATTTAAGCACGTAAACACACGGCATGGGAGAGCATGGGATAGGGGGTGTCCTGTCCTATGTGGAAGAAAGACTCACCTGTCGTGTCCATGTAAACAATTAACGTGGCAAAGACGGTCGCGAACGAGAGCAGGCACAGGGCAATGGGCAATAGCTGCCGATAGGGCGAGGGATTCAGTCGTGGATCGAGCTTCTTGGCCTTGCAGGATGCCGTCGATCCAGATCCTCCAGAGCCAGAGCCACCTCCCCCCGCACAGCCCGCTGCCGTGAGGTGATGATGGTGGTGGTGATGATGATGATGCTGCTGGTGATGCCTGTGCGGATGCTGGGACTGCTGCGGGGATGTTCTCGCCCGAGACTCGCCGCCGCCACCGCCGCCGTTCGACTTCTGGCAACAATGGAGCTGCTGCTGGAGCGGCTGTGGCAGCCTAGTTGGCGTGGAGAGGGGCGAGGAAACAGTACTGACCGAGGGCGAGCTGATCACGCTGCTCAGATCGCTCTGGTCGCCACCGCCTCCGTCTTGGTGATGCCTGCTCGTCGTCGTGCTTTTGTGGCGCTGCTGCACGTGATCCGTCTCGTCGGTGCCACAGTCTTTGGTTGGTTGCCGGATTGCCGCATTCTTTTCCGTTGCCGTCTCCCTTTCCGGGTGGCCAAAGTTCACCTCATCCACGTCCTCGCACTCGATGTCATCGTCATCGTCCACCGCTGCATAGTTAGTCCGCGCGGGCAGGGTTTTTCTGGACTCCGGACTGATGGCGGGATTGGATGAACTAGGTGTGACTTGCTGGTGGACTCTGCTCAGGGCTCCCGCTCCGCCTCCTCCGCCGGCACAACTCCTACTTAGGGTGAATTTGTTGGGTGTGGCTTTGGCGTGCCGCCTGCTTTGCGTCGCCAATCGCTGCTGGTGATGATTACTGCTAGTGTTGTGCTCCTGGTCCTGCTCCGCCGCTTGCTGCAGTTGATCCACCGCCAGCGCTGGATGCGCCGAGAAAACTTGCTGGGACATGGCTGCTCTGTACGTTCCGGTATCGATTCCTCCTCGTTGGATCGCCTCCTCTAAGCCCGCATCCTGGAATAAAGCAGAAGGAGAAGAATCCAATTAGTACCACACAAAAACTAATTTCATAAAGTGCATTGAACTGAAGCATCATCATCCCATCTCCAGCATCCTTGCAGCCAGCTCTCCATATGTCTGGCCGCCTTTTGTCTGCTCCTTTGCTCCTGCTCCTGCTCCTGCTCCTGCTGTCTCAACTCATTTTCATTTTTATGAATAGGCAAAAATACATTCCGAAAAAAAAATAAGAATAAGCAGAGCCCAAAAACCCAGGCCCAGACTCGCACTCAAATTCAAACTCGAACCCATACCCGAAGCCAAAGCCGAAAACGAAAACGAACCCAAGAGCAAAAGTCGCTCCAAGGCGGAGGCCTGAACCCGAAGAAGAAATTGAATACAAAACTCCACCACCTGTCAAAAATCGAGCGACTGCCAGACAAAAGCCGGGCGAGGGAACGAGGGAGCGATTGCCAAAGAATTTCAACAACAACGCGAGGTATTTTGTGAACCAAATTAAAAAAGACACAGAACGAGAGTAAGCGAGATGGGCACCAGAAGAGGGGCTGAAAATGCATTGCAGCGAGGCATGAGAATTATAAATGGAAAAACATTGAAGACGACCGAGAACGGAGAACGGAGAGCCGAGCACAGAGCACCGAGAAGAAGGCGATCGAGGAGGGTACAGGGAGGAGGGTGCGGAGTCCCATAGTGGAAGTGCCAGTCGTTTTGTGTACTAATGTATGGACGTAAGACTATGGGGTAGCATAAAGAATATTTTGTTTTGAAACGATTGTGAAAAGAAATTTATATTACAAAAAGTAAACCAGCAAGAAGTGAGCCCTACATCTCCAGCTCACAGATCTAGGCTTTTTCTTGTATGAATTGAGTTGGTTTAAGTTGCATTAAGATTAAGATTTTAATTCTAAAAGTGAATCTTTCGTTATGTATTTTATATAAATCATCCCAAAGAAACATATAATTTAAATTTAGTGTTTAAGGTGTGAAAATATGCGTATAAAATTACCGTCAAAATTTCTTGATTTCTGAAATATGAGGGTGTCACTCCTAATTTCTTGACCGCAACTGTATGACAACAGTTGTAGTTGCAGTTGTAGTTGTAGCTGTAGTGGCGTGTACTTGTGCGCAGGCGCAACAGACGCGCGAGAGAAGCCACGCTCGGCCAAAGCGGGAGCGAGTGAGATGGCAGGCTGTCGAGCGAGTGGAATCGAGTTCATCAACTGGCAGTGGAAACAGCAGATGTTTTCCAATGTTTGGCGGCTGTTGCTGCTCTCGGATCTCATTCCCCTCGCAGCCCAGTCAGTAGCTCTGCTTGTTGCCCTGCTCCCGAAAAAGTATCAACAAATCTAGAAGAGATTTGTAATGGACCAAGCAACAGGCTGAACTATGGAAAATTTATGAATATTTTAATGGATCCATACTGCCTTATCAATTTTTAAAAATTCCAATACTAGAATCCTTGGAACATGCTCCAATTTTTAGATATTTCCTGGAAAACTTGACTTTTGAAATCATTGACTTATTTCAAATTTTTCGCTATTATATTTAATTTGTTTTTGTTTCTGGAAGATATTTTCAGTAGAGTATTTCAAGAGCTATTTGTTTTTTTTAAAGCTTTCATTCATGTAATTCTTTCTGTCTTAGTTTTTTGCTTTATGAACCAAATCGGAGTACGAGTATTTTTTGTTCAACCTCCTCTGGCTGGCTCTTGAAGCTCCTTTGTGCTAAGGGCAAGGCTGCCATCCCATCCGTCCAGTAGAATCGGAATAAGAATCAGAATCAGATCACTGACCACAAGAAGCGGCGGGCAGAATGGTGGTTGCATTGACTTATGTGGATGCCGCCGCGAGGCATTCGCGCATTCATTATCCATTACGCGTGCGCCCAGGTCTCGGATCGGGCTTCTCGGATCTCCCTGGTTCCCAGTTCCCTATATGTATATATACACCATCAGCCCCCCCTTGATTTCCCTTGGAGAGTGGAATATGTTTTGTATGTTTTGATTTGCTGGAATTTATTGAAACATATCCCAGCGAAGCCGGGTCTGCGAGGCCTGTGATTAAATGCCCTGCTGTTGCGGCGTCTCCTCCTGGACGTTCGCCTTTAATGATACTCTTCTCTGAACATTCACATTCACCCGTTCGCAGCATTCGTTCATTAAACGATATGGTTCCTGGAATGTGCCGAGCTTAAATGGGCCCATCTGAGAGATAAGTCGAGCATCTGCAGGTTGCAATTGCATGTGGGTAGTTTTAAAGCAATAAAGTATCTGGAGGAGTTGTCCATTTAATCAATGGTCATGAGACGGTGAGCCGTATTATTAAGCACTTATAAAACAGCAAAATATATTTCACCTAATTCATAGCTCCGCGCTCTTTGTTTTAATACATCAATTGAATTCTTTTTTCCCACAACTATCAACTCTTTAATCCTGTTCTACACACTTTCCAAAGTGATTTACAGGCCATCGAACAATTAAGATGCATTTTCACAGTATGCTCAAAGAAACTTCAAGTTTATGGACGCGTTTAATGGGCTTTTAATTCAGTAATTAGTTGGTTCGTCTTTGATTTGCAGTGCGTAAATAAAGCGCCATGAAATCGAATTGAAATGGAGCGCGAAAAGGGAGAGAAAACCGAAAGATACGCCGTGTATCCACTGGATACTGCAGGCGGTTGGTCTGGCGTGTGATTAACGGCTTGTCGCAGCGCATGAAATCGATCGATTTGAGAGAGCGACAGACAAAAACAAAAAAAATAGGAAATCAGAGGGAGCCGACGATGGCACACGGATGTATCTATGCATCTCTATAGCTATATCTATAGCTATATATCTACAGATGTGTCTGTATCTCTATCAATAGCACTGTGTGCGCGCTTTTGCCGGCGTCGCTTTCATTGATGCTGCCCTTTTTTGTGTCTGCTAGCTGTCTGGGAAATTGTTGACTTGGCAACAGCCACTATATAGCCTCTTCTGTGACAGAGCCACCTCCCAAATGGCGCCATCGAAGAGGTCACCGAGATTCCAACCAAGAGGGGACGGGCGTTTGAAAGATTTAGGGGCAGCACCAGAAACCGGAGGAGGAGGAGGAGGAGGAGGAGGAGGAGCATGAGGAACATGACGAGCAGGAGGAGATTAGGGCCTTGCAATTTTGGCCGTTTGGAGTTGTGCAACATATTTTGCGGACCCAATTCCAAGAATCACCAAGCCATGCTGAACAAACAACAAAATGAGGAGGGCAAATGGAAAAGGAAAGGAAAGGTGAAACAAGGTGGCACATACACCTGGAGAAAATAAAAAACCAGCGTATATTTTCTTATTATTTTTCCACCTTTAACAATATGTTGATTTTGTCATATGGTTCTAAAAATGTATCATTCTTTATACCATTAATTTCTGACAAAAATATTTGTGACCAATTTCGTTGACATTTTCTGCAAGTGGAGAAGCAACAGCAGCAGAGGAAGAACGACCGAGCGAACATGCCACAATAATGTTTTGCGGTTAATGATCGTGCGATGCGAGGTACGTTTAAATGTAACACGGAGCAGGAAAGAGCCAGAGCTAGTGGAACAGTGCGAACAAGCAGGATGGGACTAGCGGACGGCACAAGACATTTTGATAAAACATTTACAAACGCACTCAACCAGAACTCCATCATACCAACCACACAAAACAGCGCACAGTTAGAGGGAATGTGGAAGGTAGCCAGAGCCAAGTCACCAAGGAAAACAGAACCACCAGCAAATGCTACAAAACAAAACAAAAAAAAAAAAAAAAGGAAAAAGTATAAAAACAAGAAGCGATGACGATGGGCAGCCAAGTAAGAAAAAGGCTGGCACAGCTCGTAGAATTATTCTGCTACGCTTTTAACCATATGGTTTATTTATACAACAACAAAAGGCACAAGAACAAGAAGTGCAGGGCAGGGCAGGCCAACAGCAACAGCAGCAGCAGCAGCCACTCACCAACATTGGTAACACAACAAAGTGGCAGACAATAAAAATGCAATTCTAAAAAGTCCAGCAACAACAACCACTCGGGCAACTTTGCACATAGGAATTCTTCTAAAGATCTCTTATGGATAAATGCGGTTAGGGGAAGAGAACGGAACGAGCCAAGCGATCTCGTTGATTACGAAAGTTTTGTCGGGTTGACCAAGACGGGATTCCTTAAAAAAATACAAAATAAAAACAACAAAACGATAGGAAACATTGCAGACTGAAAGATTATGTTGAAATACATATGTGTCTAGTGAACGACTCGTATTTCTGTAAATATTGGGCTTTAGCTGGATAAATAATATGTATTTTGCGTTACCTTTAAAAAAAAAACGTACTTTTACCTATCTAAATAGGTAAAGCTAACTGATAACCAGCAAAGGGACCTTCCCCTTTTCATTTAGATAAACTCGCAAACGATATAAGTGACCCTCTCTTCTTGTCTTTCGCGGCGGTTCCCTAAAAAGTTGTTGAAATTTTCCAATTGTTTCAAGTACTCCTCTCCCCTGTCTTGTACTCAAAGGTATTTTTTTTTTCCTTTGCTGACGGCTACTTAGAAACGAGCTCCGCCACGCTGAACGCGCTAATGAAAAAATTGCTTGCCAGGTAGGAGAAGGTATTTCGGAAATTTATTGGTAGCACACAGAAACGTGAAAAAATACAAAACTGCTGGCCAAATGTGTAGCATATGCTGCAAAGTGGTAACAGGGACCGGGGAACCTGGAACCTGGAACCTGTGTGGTCGTCGTGGCGGCGTTGACTTATCTTGGCTTGTTTATCGGCCAGCGTCGTCGGCGTCGTCGTTTTAATTGTTTGTGCCCAAGGCGTCGGCTTGTAGGAGTTGGCCAGGACAGGCCAGGGCGGCCAAGTTTGTTAACTTGGCCGGCAGCAGCTACAACAGTTATTTCAGCAAGTCGTTCTAGTAAATTAGCACATAAAAATGCGGCTGGAAAGTTGCCAAATAAAAAGCAGCAGTGGCAGCAGCAGTTGAGGAAT